TTTGCACAGCCCTCTCAGAATGTTTATTTGAGCAGAGAGGGAGGGATTTGTACCAAGCAGGTCAGGCTGGTGGGCGGAATTTCTGTAAATCTTGGCACAGAGCTGCAGTGTGAAGCAGCTTGTAACTGCTGAGACACACACCTGTCTCCTGGATGTGTTGTAGCAGACACTCAAGGTTAGTAGTCCTGATTTTTGTCTTCCCTGTCAACATCAGTTCTCATGAACAAACCGCTCCAAGGTGTTTTTTTTGGAAGTGTTACTGAATCCCGAGTCTGTACAATGAGGATTAGGTACTTCAGAATTCATTTCACATTGGACTTAAAAGCAAGGTCAGAGACTCTGCAGAGGGAAGGTAAAGTCACCACAGTGCTGACTCCAGGCAGGAGAGGAAATGTGCCACGCTCAGAGCTCAGCTCCAGCAGTGCATCCCATCCTGGGCATCAGCACATTCCCCCGGGGAGCCTCGGGCTGCTCCGCAGGGAATCAGCACAGAGAGACAGGGATGGGTTTGAAATGCAGCCAAAGACCTCAGAGGACTGGCCTGAGACTGGCCAGAGTCTTCCTTTGCCTTGGTTGGGTGTTTAAACTTCAGCAGCTCTGAGTTACAGTGTCTTCACTGTAATTAATACTTTTCAAGTTAGCAGTGACTAATAATTTTGTCAGCAATGTTTTCTCATGGCCTGTGTTAACCAGGTTAAGCTGCAGCTCCTAACGTCAATTTGGGATTTCCAGCACACTCCCTTGTATTTAAATATGCAGTTTTTATTATCTTGGACTAATCCTCATGAATTTACATCAGGGTAATTTCGTGTGCCCACAACCAAAATTAAAACACCTGAAAGGTGGGTGTTTAAAAAAAAAAAAAAAAAAAATTAAAAAGCCTGGAGTCTATGGATGTGGTCCAGAATAATTTGTATTTGCATGATGTGTCTAACCCAAGAGTTATTGTGGCCATATCAGCTTGGGCTTAAGGCAATTGGGTTTATGACTGATGGAAAGTAGGGATAAATTGCAGTCACTTCTTACAGTGCTGAGTTATCTGAAGTTACCACACAACAGGCTCCTGCTGCTGTTTGTGTCTCTGGGATACAGTTAAGGGTTATTTTAAACCAAGGCTTGTACTGGGGTAGAGCAGAACATGTTCCTACATGAATTCCAAAGGCTGAGTGTGTTTTTGACTGGTTTCCTGAGGAAGCCAGGCAGTTAAACCATGTGCTGTGGGACTGCATCGTGCACCCCAAGCTCATCCCAGCAACCTGGGATGGGCCATTTGTAAAAGGGTTGAGAATTCAGAATTTAAATTCATCTTAAACATTCAGTGAAAACAGCCAAGCCTTCAGGAGGAGGCTGCAAGGTGATAGAAAACCCCAAAATTTGGCTTGATTCTGCTGCTCCTTAAAGAGTTCTTGTCTGTGATTGTTTGTTTATTGTGCAGTTGTGCAAAAATAAGTGTTCGTGTACAGCTCTGAATTCGTCTGTTCTTTGATGTGTCTCCAAAGCCAGTGCAAATGCAGGATCCTAAATCTGCCTTTGATGCAAGAAAAAAGGCTGTGGTTTAGTCAGTATTAAAATTAAATCATGGTGAATCGCAGGCCTGAGATATTAATCACCGTTCTGAATGAACCAAAGAACAAAGTATTTTTGTTTATGAGTCAAGTTTGTAGTTTTTCACCAGAAGAGCTTCCCCCTCAGAAGGCCTGGCAGCAGGCCTGGCAGCAGGCCAGCCTGGCATCCTGCAGGGAGACAGAGCACCGGGAGAGGTCCGTAGTGATGGAGTCAATGGAAAAGGAATTCGTGAGTATAAAACAATGGTAGTGAAAATCCTCTTCCAAAGCACTGCTGGGCCTGTCCTCGTGGCAGGGTCTGCCTGCAGGGGTCCGGGACCACCCTCTGCCACCACCAGGCAGTCGTATTCCTGCTGCCCCTTCCCGTAGTGTTTAGTAGTGTTGGATGAGTCAGGCTTCAAAATTGATCCTCTTGGAACTTCCCAGCGACTTCTCTCTGTGGACAAAATTAAGGATTCTCCCCCCACCTGCCTGTTTCATAAGCAAGTCTTTATATATGGACTTTTCCTCCCAATTTTGTGTTGAGATCTTGCTAAATATCCTCTGGGAATCCAAATGGGTTTATATAAAAAAGATACTTCCTCTCATCTCCACACTCTTTGATTTCTTAAAAAAACTCTACAAGATAAGAGTTTGATTTAAAAAGTCTGACTCCTCATTAAAGTTGCTGAATGGGCTCTTCCCTGAGGTGTTTGTTCATTGTTCTGTTTGTTTATTGTTATTCCGACCAAGTGCCCAGCACAGAGCTCAGCCTGCTCTGGATTTCCTCTGGATTCCTTTAAAGACTGAAGTCCTGCTTCCTGCTTTCCCTTTTCCTGCTACCCAGACAGTTTCAAGTGCTGTTACCTTCTCCAGGTGATGCTCAGTAATTCAATACTTGAGTTAATTTAGTTTATACTTCTTGTTCTGTGGCTCCTGGAGATGTGATGGGAATGTGGGAACTGGGGGGTCTTGTGTGTGGCTAATGGTGGCTGGTGATGTCCAGGCCAGCTCTGTGGCTTCTCAGCTTACTGAAATTCATCCTGGTGTTGGTTTTCCTGCACGTCATTACAAGGTGATTTCATGCTTGAAAAATAACTAATTGTGTGAGAGTGAGGGCAGAGCCACCTCACTTCAGATTTAAGCATTAAATATGGCCAGTGTTAATGCCCACAGCAAAAGCACAGAGCCAGTCATTTGGTGTGATTCCCCACACTGTTTTCTTTTCCTGGCTTGGTTACCAGAAGTGCTTTCTATTGAAACTCCTCCCATTTCCTGCAAATTTGTCAATACAGTGTTTTATCAATCCAGAAGTTTCAACACTGGAAGTTGAAATGTCTTAAAAATTTTTTTAACATCGTAATATAACAACTTCACAGGGAAAAGGCTGGATAAACCAATGAGTGTTTCATAAAAGTGTGGCAATAAACAAGCTAAACTTTTAATTTTGCCTGTGTGAGCAGAATAATGAGGATCATCTGGATCAGGCCAGCACAACGTTATTGCCTTTGACAGGAGCTCTTCAGTGAGACACTGAGGTGACCAGGAAATCACATTCCCAGCTGCCATCACCGTCAGCACTTTCCTGCTTGTCCGTCAGGGTGCTCTGGCCATGGCTCTGCCAGCTCTGCCCAGCTCTGCCCAGCTCTGCCAGCTCTGCCCAGCTCTGCCCAGCTCTGCCCAGCTCTGCCAGCTCTGCCCAGCTCTACCAGCTCTGCCCAGCTCTGCCCAGCTCTGCCAGCTCTACCTGGCTGCTCCATTGCTGGGAGAGCAGACACAGCCAGGCAGCAGCTGCAGGAGGCGAGGGCTGCAGCCTCTGGGCTGCTGATTGCATCAGGAAGCACAGACTCCTTGCCAAACTCCTGAAAATATCTGTCATCAGCACGTGATGGAGGACAGGGAGGGTGTTCAGGTGCAGCAGCAGCCAGGAACTGGTCAACAGCTCATAAAAACTGGGGGAAACAGCACTCAAGGCCTGGCTGTGTGTCTGGGATTTCAACAGAAGTTGCTGAGATTAAGCCCCACGGACCTTTTGGGGTTTTCGTTGGGCTCTCTGTTACCTCTTGCACTAAGTACTGCTGGGAAGCCCCTGCTGGGAAGTGGAGGGGAAGGAATGCAGTGCAAAAGCAAAGGGTTCATGTACAGGTAGCAGTGCTGAAATGCAAAATGTTTGCATGAGAACTGAGTTTATAAATGGTTCTTCATGCTGGGAAAGGAAAGAGAAATTGTGGAATGGGTGAATTCTCCTACACCACAGGTGAGCTGGGTGTCACATGTGAAACTCAGGTGCCTGGTTCTTGTCATATGTGTGTGAAAGATGTGTCATAATCTCACACCTGAGAGTCCTGAGCTGATGGTGGCACTAAGACTGTGCTGTTTTCAGGTTCCCTCCTCTCCTTTCCATTCTTCTCATCCTCATGTTTCTCTGGGCTCACATGATCTGTTTGCAGTTTGGATATTTAGATCTACAGACTTTAGTTTCAGAGTATGAATCCCCCTCCATTAATTGTGAGCTGTGTTTAATATTGCTGCGCGAGGGACACGAGGAGGGCTCGAATGAGTGGGTTCTCCTGTGGAAAAAAAGCTGAAAAATCCCCCAGCACTCTGGTTCTGGTGGCTGGTAAAGCTGCCAACAGGCAGGCTGGGATTTAAGGGGCACATTTTTGCAAATCAGCGTCTTCATCACAACACTGAGTGAAGAGAGGAGGAGGTGGAGGATCCGTGGGAAGATTAATGTGGCCTCTTCACTCTCCTGAGCGCCAAGGTTCCTGAGAAGGATGAGAGTGTCACATCACTGCTTCTTGCTTTATATTTTTCCTCCTTTTACTTGCTTTTTTCCATTGTTGCAATCATTAAGTGCTGCCATTCCTTGTGTCCCTCTTTCCTGTTGGCTGGGGATGTTCACTGTTAATTGAGCAGCACCGTATCTGCTTTTCAAGCTTCATAGATAAACAAACCATTTCTGCATTAAAGTGCTTGATTTTCTTTTACTGTGATATTTTAAGACTTTCTTATCTTTCGCTGTCATAGAGGAAAACCTAAAAAAACCAGACTTCTGAGGCCTTAGTTTGGTTTATAAACAGACTCCCAGTAGCAGATTTTGTACAGGACTCAGGTCCTGTCACTGGTTGCCAGTCATCATAAGGGGTTAGTTTTGAGTCTGGCCAATGTTGCAACAGATTTCTCCTTCCCAGGGCTTTTTGAATATTAGTAAGTCCTGAGTGAAATGGATCAGAGTTGGGAGCTGTGACAAACTGCCTCGAACCCGTGTTGTTGGTGTGTGTGTGTGCACAGGCCCACACACCATCCCAGACATACTTTGTTTATTCAGCTCTACTGTAAATGTGTTGTGTTTTCTTCTCCCAGAGTAAACAGTTTCTGTGCACACTCCTGTGGCCCCCACCATGTGAAGTGGTTGTTCCCCACAGCTGAGGGGTTCTCTGTTCTGTGCCCCAGGCCAGGTACAAGCAGAGCCTGGACCCGACGGTGGACGAGGTGAAGAAGCTGTGCACGTCCCTGCGGCGCAACGCCAAGGAGGAGCGGGTGCTGTTCCACTACAACGGGCACGGCGTGCCCCGGCCCACCGTCAACGGGGAGATCTGGGTCTTCAACAAGGTGGGGCCCAGCTGCTGCCTCTGCCTCCTGCTCCGAGTTACGAGGGGTTCTGTTGAGAGCAGCTGTGCTCTGGGCTCGCCGGCCAGCTGGTGGTGAAATCTGTTCCCAGCCCCTTCCCAGTTGGGCTGTTTGTTGTGTCGTTCCCGTGAAGAGGCACAGAGGGATGGTGGGAGCAGTGGGAGCAGAGCAGGAACTTCTCCTTACAAACCAAAGTCAGTTTGTAGGGTCTTCCTACAAACCAAACCGTCCGACTGAGTTCTGCCCAGCCCAGCGTCTGCCCAGGCAGCATCAAAGCATCACCCTGAACAACCACTCTGCAAAACTCTTAGTTAACACTCCTTTTTTTCTTCAAATCAGCTCATTTACATATCATTAGCAAATGTTGATGTTTTATGTGACCCCCACAGTAGAGTTGGAATATAAAATTCTCCTGGTTGGAAATACCACAATATTAATCAGAACTATAATCCAGTCCTGGCTAGAGCAAGATGCATTAGAAATGTGAATTTAAAACAATTCATGCCCATAAAATGTCGTTGATTGGATGTGTCAGAGCAGGTTTTTTATGTGTAACTTCCTGTGATTGGGATGTGCTTCACGGGAGGGATGACCTTAAGAAAGGTCTGTGCTGTAGAGGAGCTGTTCATGCATCATTTCCATCCTGCAGTGATCTGCAGAGCTCCCAACTCCCAAAAACTTTGGCTTTCATAAACAATTTCTCCTGTTAATTTTAATAAAACAACCAAAACTGTTATATATGGGCAAAACTGGGTTTGGAAATGCCTTACCCTTCCCCACCTTACATAACATATGGTTTATGATCCCTTTTGTCTTTATCGACACTGATACGTGTCCTTGAAAATTTGATTTTTGTAAAAGTTTGCTGGTTTTATTACAGCTATTTTAAGTCTTTTGAATTTAAATGGGAGTTATGATCCCATCCATCATTCTGCTGATGTTAATAGGAACACCACAGCTTTTCCTGAGGGTTTTGGGCCAAGCTCAGGGCTGTAGGAACGCCAGGTTGTCCTGTCCCTGCAGCTGGGAAGGATCTTGCTGGCAGCCACTGGGTGTTTGGTGGTGACTCTTTGCAGGCAGAAATCCACTCTGGTCTATATTTTCAGCTCAATTAGTTCAAGGTTGGCCCTTCACAGCTGGTTTTAAATGTCTGATTTTTATGCTCTTGCCCCTGGTTATTTGGGGGCATTAAGATGGGAGACACAGAACAAAATCCTTCCTATTTACAGAAAGGGGACTGTGGGTACTTTGCTCTGTCAAAGGCAGCTTTGTTGGTTTTAATTTTATTGGATAATTCAGAAAGTTGCACAGAAGTTAAAGCTGTAATAAAATTATGAAGCATCTCGTTAAGCTCAAGCAGGGTAGGGCTGATGGGCTGCAGGGGCTTAATTATCCTTCTTGATTTATTGATGGGCTTTTCAGTTTAGGATGTTTGATGTTAAATTAAAGACAGCTGGTTTGCATCCTTTATCAGTGTTGCAGAAATTTGGGATAAAATTGGGCTATTAAATGCTGTTTGGAGTTGTTAGCACAAATCAGAGCTCTAAATACCTAATACTGAAAATGCCTGGTGGAGTTTTGGGCTTTTAGTTTGGAGTTGGATGTTTCAAACAATGCCACAATAAAATCTGCCCGTTGTTAGTGTTGACTTGGGTTCCCAGTCCTAGCTTTTGGCAGCTATTGCCCGATACTTGAATTGATTAATATGGTCAATGTAGGTTTTATTTGGGGATTTCAGAATTGGAATTTTGTGGGGGTGTTCTGTTATCTCACCAGTTCAAGTTCTGTTGTTTCTCTGCCTCATGGTGACTGGAGTGGGCGTTTTTCTCCTACAGAACTACACTCAGTACATCCCACTCTCCATATACGACCTGCAGACCTGGATGGGGAGTCCTTCCATCTTCGTCTACGACTGCTCCAACGCCGGCCTTATTGTCAAGTCCTTCAAGCAATTTGCACTACAGAGGGAGCAGGAGCTGGAGGTGAGAGCACAACCTGCAGAGCTTTGGTGGTGTTCAGGGAACACAAATGAACTTTAAGCTTGCTTTGCTATATACACTGAAAAATGTGTTTAAAACCATGTTGGAAGGCAAATTAATTTGCAAATAGCTTTGCCACTCCAATCTTTCTGGTTCAGTTTGCTATCCCATTAAACTTGGAATGGATTTTAATACAAGCACTAATTAAATGTTAACGTTAATAGAATCAATTTGGACCCTAATGGTCTTTTGTGCTGCAATGAATGCTGAGGTGAATGAGACATTTATTTTGGTTACAAAAGCCTGGTTTCTGGGGCTGTATTTGGGTGCAGTTATGGTTTTGTGCTGTTAAAGTGAATGAGAAAATGTGAAACAACAAAAACCTCATCCGGAGGGATTGTCCTGTGGTGGTTCCAGTTCCACAGAGTGCTGAAGCTGAATGTGTTCCCACTGAAAAGCTGTCTTTGGTTACAGATGGAATTAGTAATAAATTCATTGAAGTAAATCTGAAATGCAAAGTGGAAGGGAAGAAGTTGAATTTTTTGTGCAGACTCCCACCTGCCAGACCCCCCCTGCTGCCTTCAGCTTCCTGGGAGAGGACATTTGTAAAGGGTCACTTCTTACACTCCCACAGCTCCGAGGTACTATATGAAAAAAACCCCAAAACTTCAAGGAAGGAATGTTAATTAATCAAACAACTGACTGTCACAAATACAGCCTCCAAGCAGATGGTAACAGTATCCCTGGCTATAACTCCTTTCCTTCCAAATTCCAGTTTTTGGAGGGGCTTTTGTGGTGACTGTTCTTGGCACTTCAGTATTTCTGCTCTTGCTGCACAGGTTAAAACTACCAATTAATATGATTATGAAAATACTTTCAGGCTTGTGTGGCAGCTTTTCGTTCTGTCTTTAGATTTCATTAACTGTGATGACTGACTGAGGTACCTGCTCGTGATTAATAGAAAGCAGAGATGTGGCACCAGAGAGAGCAGAGTGCTCAGGGCGTCCTGCAGAGCGTGGATGGGAATTCATTTGGAAAATTATAAATTATCAAATTGTTCAAATTCATGAAAAGTGAAGTGAAGCTGGAACTGGTGCTCCAGAGGGGCTGCCAGAGTGATCAGGATAATTGTTCCTCATCTTCCTGCAAGGAGATCAAAGCAGTTTGCTGTTCTCTTAATCTACCAGAGGGATTCTGATCTTTTGATTCCTTGTCTTGCCCTAATAAAAGTTGTGTTTATGAGAGAGCCAAGCAGTGTAGAAAGTCTGAGGCCAGTGGATGCTCTAAGGATGCAAAAACAACTGTTCATCGTGGGCTTTACTCAACCCTCTTTTTTTCCTCTCCTTTTTGTTGACCTGTTCAGGAAAGCTGTGTCCCATCACTGTCCTGAGCAGCCTGACAAGTCTGTAGTTGCTGGCTGCTCCTGTTCATTTATGGTTGTTGATAGGTTGTTCATTAATCTCCAGATATTTCCAGTGTGTGGGTCCAGTTTCTGTGGTTTGTCATGCTGGGCAGAAGCTGGAGTTGAGCAGGTCCTGGAGCCTGAGCTGCTCCCCTTCAGACCTGAGGGGCACCACCAGCCTGTGACAAACACCCTGAGTGTTTCAGAGTGCTCAGAGAGCTGAAAATCCCTCCAAATGTGCTTCCCCCTAAGAGCCCTTCCTAGGGATGCCCCAAGGGCAGGGCTTTCTTCAGAGAGTGAACAGCCACAGCTAAGCAGTTTGACTGCTTTGTTTTTATACATCTGTGAAGAGCTAATGCTTTCCCACGCTGTCTCTCAAACCTTTCTCCTCAAATGAAAGAGCTTTGCAGTATTTTAATTACCTTTTATTTAGTTGTTGGCATACAGGGGGTTGGGACAAAATGATCTTTAAGGTCCTTTCCAACCCAAACCATTCCATGATAGAGCTTAAGTTTTATTGAGATTGATGGCTTGAGGGTGCCTTCATTCCCCCAGGTACGTGTGGATCTCTGCTGGAAGCAGCTCAGCTCAGCTGGGAGCAGAGACAGGTCCCAGCTAATTTAGACAACTGGAAAAAGCCAAAGTGTGTCAGTGCTGCCCCTGGGATTAGAATGGAAAAAATTATGTTTAAAGAATCAAAAAACTTGAAAGGTTGCAGAAACTTCTCCCTGGCTTGTCAGGTTGCTTTGCCAGGTGGGAGGTGTGTGGCTGTACCAGGCCCTAGGACTGTCACACAATGTTCTGTTCCCTTTTGACCCTCTGAAGCACCAAATGGATTCCCTCCTCACACAGACAGAGTGTTTCATGTGTAAGGATGGTAAAGAATGAGTTTATCAGTCGACTGTATCCCCGTACTGAGCTGGCTGGAGGGTTGGTCTTTGGAAAAATGTGCTTCTGTCAGCTTTGGTAACACAGCTCATGGGTCACTGTGGTGGTGCTTTGCTTTCTGACTCCTGCAGCAATGAGCAGTGAGGTGTTACACTGCATCCCCTCTTCCTTTAGGAACTTCTGAGTGCCAGAGAGCAAAATTTTGGGTGGCTGAAGTGTTTACCTGGTTCAGAAGGGCACTGGAAAGATTATTTGTGTTTTCATTCTGTGAATTATTAGCCTCAAAAATCATATTCTTAGCCAAAATTTTAAATAGGAGCATCACTGTGGTTTTGGAAAATGGCAATATTGATATATAGAGTATTTCTAGTTTATAGACTGACGTTTGGACAGATTAAATACTTTAACAGTTGAATTTTGTTAATTATATGAGTGAAAGCTGTGGCTGGGGGTACATTATTCCTTAACTTCTCTGAACCCAGAGCCCCATGGGACACTGGCAGCTCCTCACAGGTTCTGGTGCTGTAGAAATGACCTTCCCTGCCTCCCCCCGGGGGGTTTCCTTGCTCCCTGCAGGTGGCTGCCATCAACCCCAACCACCCCCTGGCGCAGATGCCGCTGCCCCCCTCCATGAAGAACTGCATCCAGCTGGCAGCCTGCGAGGCCAACGAGCTGCTGCCCATGATCCCCGACCTGCCAGCCGACCTGTTCACCTCCTGCCTCACCACCCCCATCAAGATCGCCCTGCGCTGGTGAGTGATGGCTCTACAGGGCTCTGCAGGGGGGTGGATTTGTGAATCCAAACACTTCATTTGACCTGAGCTCTCCTTGCAGTGTTGAGTTGCAGGGTTTGTGCTGTGCATTTGGGACAGCAGCTTATTAATCAGGACTAGAAAGGTGAAAATACTGTTGTCTGCTACTTACTGCGTTTTAGTTTTCAACTCAATATCTGGGTTCGCTCAGATTAAGGGATTTACTGTTCTGGGAATTAAATATCTGCTTCCTCAGAGAGCAGGAATAGTACATAGTGCAGTACAACTTGTTGTAAACTATCCTTTGCACAAATCATGTTCCACGTATTGCAGTTGCTGTAAATAATGCAGCAGCATTAAACAGTGCTGGAGTGGAAGGAGGGGAACGATAAACTGAGGAAAGACGTTCTGGAATGACAAACCAAGTTAATTAGGCAGAAAGTTAGAAAAGGCTGCTACAGGGAGCAGGAGCTTTCCAAGAGCAGTATTTTACCCAGCAACAGGGGCCACAAAGGCCTGTGGTGCCAGGGGGGCAGTCCAGTGCCCCCAGGCTGTGCAGAGCTCTGGTGGTCTGTTCCCTTGGGCACATCTCACCTGATCCTCAAGGCTGTGTCTGGTCCAGAATGGAAAAACTTGAGGGCATTTGCTGGACGGGGTTAGAACAGGCAGAAGCCTTTGGACACTGCACATACTGGTGAGGAATTGGCAGCACAGCTCCAAGAGTTATTTGCTGCCTTTTGGAGATGTTTGTAATAAATTACAATTCTTTGTACTCTTTCTGTTTCGTGTGAGCAGCAAACTGAATGAGTTCATTTGGCCAGGTTCTGGTTTGGGCACGTGGTGCCTTTGGCTCTCTTTGCTCCCGTGAGGGGCAGCACAAAACCTGTTGAGTTTTTTGTCCTGTTTTTGATGTCATGAGCTCCCAAGGTGTTTTCTCATGGAAGCTTTTAAACAGTGGCAAAATTCCCTAGGGGGACTTTGAGAAATACTGTCTTGTAAGCACGAAAATATGTCTTCAGGGAACTACTTTTATTCTTTAAATTTCGTGAGGATCCCTCGCATGGGCTTTGGTGCCTGTTGGAGATGAACTAGTTCATGGCAAATTGGAGCTTCAGAAGTGAAGTGGAAGGGATTGGTTTCAGGGTTCTCCTTCCCTTCAGTTACCAGACTTGACAGTTTCTGCCAGATTTAAAGTGAAAATGCCGAGGCTCTGTAAGACAGGTTTTTTCGGTGGGCTTTGTTTGTTAGATGTACTAAGAAAGGTTTTTTTTCAGATATTATGATCTGTTCAGGAATTTTCTGTTCCTTCATCTCCATGGGAACGTGCTGAGGGGGTGAGCAGGGCAGGTTCTCAGCACAGCTACACCTGGTGTGGTCACGACAGATTCTCTGGGCTGCATCTCGTTGGTGTTCGACAGGGAACACGTTTGGAGAATTGTGGCTCAGGGGAAGGATTTAAAACCATCACCCTCAGCTGGTCAGGGGCTGATGCTGGAAGGTGCCACGTTAAATCCTGGATAGGGAAGCATTTCCTGCTGCCTAATCCAGTGACTGTGTCACTCACTGCATGCACAGAAATCCCTCCTCTGTTGTCCGATGAAGATTGTGCTCCCAGTTGATTGTCATTATTGCAGGTGTGGGTTTATCCTGTAAATAATAAGTACTGCTTGTGGAACATTGTTTTTCACCAATGTTAAACACAATGTATGCAAAGCCAGATCCTCTGCTGCATTCCAAGAGTTTGATCCAAACTGTATGTTGATGCCCTAAAGCAGTTAACCAAAAATAAACACAAAAACCTTTGGCCTTAAAACTTCCCTTTTCCTTCAGTCCAGCCCTGTTCCTGAAAGGAATTGCTTTTGAAATACAACTTTTTTGCAATTCTGGACTGATACTCTAATGATGCTTCATATATGGAATTTATGGGCAAGTGAAAGTTTGGTGAATAAATGTTTATCCATCCCATTTTTGCTCTGTGGTAACTGATGGACAAAATCCCTCATCAGCCGGAGTTGCAGCTGCAGCCACTTCAGTCTCATTTCAGGGGAAGAAAAACTGATGCTGGGGAGAGAAACCCAGGTCAGCTGTGCCCTTCTGGGTGTGGTGTGTGAAACTCCTGATGCCAGTCTGCAATTCCAGGAACCTGGAGTGTGGATCTTGGCTACCTGGCTGCTGATTGTCCTGGTGTGCAGTGACTGCTGTGAGCTGACGTATTCCAAATATATCTTGTGCCTATATAAAGCTCTGTGTGAGGCGAGCCTGGAGCTAAGCTGCATGGATTGTTAATCCTGACGGATGGCACTGTCGGGAAGCAAACGCGGATATTGAGGAAACGGGCAGGAGTCAGAGTGTTTGGTGCCCTGTTTTACGCAGATCTGAGTGTTTCACGTTGTCTAAAGCAAAAGCAGCTCCACTGGAAGTCGTGCTCAGTGGTGAGTCATGTGCCTGTGTTTCCATCAGTCCTGGAAGGTGTTAATAAACTGCAGTTATAGATCCGGAATTCCACGTGTTGGAGCGAAGGCTGCGCTGGTCTGGGTTGGCTTCGGGGCCTTGTGGCTTTGAAATGTGAAATCCTGCTCATAAACAGTGAGAGGGCTCCTGAAAAGTGCTGGAAACACCCCAAACAACAAGAAACAAAAAGTTTTGGAGCTGCTCAGCCTGGGGAATTTGAGATGTGCAGTTTGTACTCCAGAACACCCATAACAGAAGGGCAGGGGAGAGGACGGGAGCTGTGGCTGGTGATGTTCTGTTGGGTCAGTTCAAACAAACATTTAAAGTGTTTTGGTTGTTTTTTCTAACATACTTATTTTGCATTTCGACTTGAGATTTTGGGGGTTGACTCGACCAATCCTCTGTCCCACATTGATTTAGACAGAATACCCTGAGTTTCAAAGTCACAGAGGGACCGATTGCACCCTCATTTCTGGGTTTCCTCCAGTGCTGCCGTTCCCTGGCCTGTTTCTGTGCAGCCCCAGTGTGTTACCTGCTGTCTGTGACAGTGACACAGCCCCCAGGCGAGACACCACGTGTGCAGCCTCGCAGCCATGAAGGGGGTGCAGACACAGGCGGAGGAACATTTTGTTTACGAGTACATTTTCTTGGCAGTCAGTGCTTGCTGGAGAGGCGGCGCAGAGGCTGCTCCTGCTTCAGTGGGAGTTTCGTGGACTGCTCTGTTTCCAAATATCCAGGGCAGTGGGGAGAGCTTTGGCTGCAACAGAGACATGGAATCATGGGATGGTTTGGGTTGGAAAGGACCTTAAAGCCCATCTCATTCCAGCTCCCTGCCACAGACGGGGACACCTTCCACTAGACCAGGTTGGTCCCAGCCCTGTCCAGCCTGTCCGTGGACTCTTCCAGGGTCACACTTCTTTAGAGGCAGCCAATGTGTGACAGGGCAGAGCTGTGCTGCTCTCACAGTCCTTCCAGACACGTCATGATGTGGAGGCACAGAGAGGAGTTAAAGTCTTCCAGCACCCCCAGTGTGCAGGGAGGCTCCAGGCTGATCCCAGTGACCCAGTTCTGCCTGTGGCTGTGTTTAGGAGGGAATTTCCCTGCCTGGTTCTGTAATGCACTGTCGTAAGAATTTTATATTTCAGCAGATTGCAGAGGGATCCCACTGCAGGTTCACGGGTTCTTTATGGCTCCTTTCTGTGCTGGATGACGCAGACATCAGGAAAGCAGCCTGGGGACCACTGAGCCTTCCAGAGCCTATCCCCATCCTTGCCTTGGCAGCAAGGGATGCCCTGCTGGCAGGGAATGCCACAGAAAAACCGGAGGGGCCTCAAGGTTTCAGAAATGGGCTCTGCACATCTTGTCCTTAATAAGTAATTGTTCTCTCCTTTACCTAGGGAAGAGCCTTTTGGATGTGGGTGATGTGGGTCTGGTGAGGTGAGGCTCCTGCTGCAGCAGCTGGATGCAGGAGGTGGGATTGCTGGGCTGGAGAGCCCTCCTGGTCCAGGACTGCCCATGGAGCCCTCCTGGTCCCACAGAGCTCCTGGTCCCTCACAGAGCTGTGTGACAGGTGCAGTGTTGGGATAAATGTCAACTGAGATTACACTGAGGGCAAAATTCTTCCTTGAACAACAGAAAGTGGATTTTTGAAAGACTGAGCCAGTGGGCTGGGAATGTGGTGCTATCACTGAGGAAGTTATTTCTTGAGTTGAAGTTGCTGGGTTTCCGTCCCAGAGCTGTTGTTCCCACTCTGCCCTCTGCACCTCCAGGGAGGTCTGCAGGAGGGGAAGGGTGCTGGGAATCTGGGCCAGCAGCCATCTCCCCCTCCCACACACGCTTGGGTTTGGCAGCTTTTGGGATTTTCCAGGCCCAGCAAGTGGTACTGACAGGACTCGGCGTTTTCCCGGGCCGGTGTTCCTGGAGCAGTGGGATTTGTAAAGCTGAGGAAATGGAGTCAGCAGTTTTTTTAATTAAATAACGGAGGTGTCTGAACCTGACACATCCCTCCCATTCCCTCCCTTTCTCCCTTCCCTGCCTGCAGTGCCACATCTCTTCAGGGAAGCCCAGCCAACGCTGATCATTATTCCAGCAGCATAATCCTCCCCAGCTCTTGTGTCGTTGTGCTGCTCCCGGGAGACCGTGCTGGATGCCTGGGAGCCCTTTTCCCCCGCTCTGTGTTGGAAAACTTGTCACCGTGACAGTTACAATACCCCAGTTTTGACACCTGACGATGGAAATCGCCGCATAATCACGAGTGTGACAAATACTGAGGGCCTTGTTTGGGTCTCATTATGCCGTGCCAAAGTTCCCTACCCAAACACCATTTTAAAAGCAGAAACAGTGCAGTAAAGAAACCTCCTTCCACATTCTCTCCGCAGAACCTTGTCATTAAACAGTCAATTAGTGTGTTTTATTTTACTCTCTCCCCAGGTTCTGCATGCAGAAGAGTGTCAGGCTGGTGCCAGGAGTCACGCTGGATTTAATAGAGAAGTAAGCCAAATTTTGTACATATTTTCTTTTTTCCCTGTTGCTCCTTAGTTCCTCATTATTTCTTGCATTTCTCTTGTTTGTCTGTGAGGAAATTTCTTTGGGAAGCTGTTCAGAGTCTGCACCTGCAGTAATTGTGGTGCTGAAACAAGCAGTGGCCATGGAAATAGGGAGCTGCTGGGGGGAGATCCGGCTGTTCCGGGCTCAGCTCGGCACATTCCATGCTCTGGAATGTGCTGCCAACCTGGACCAGGCAGGAAATGGCCACTGCAGGCACAGGTTGGGATTGTTCCTGGAGAGCCCAGTGTGTGGCTGGTTAGGGGAGGGTTTGCCCACGGGAGGGTGAAGCTCTGCAGCCACGTCCCCAAACCCAACTGAGGGACAACAAAACAACCAGAAATCACTTGTCACTGTGCTGTCCCCCTGTTCTCTGTCTGACAGGGATGGTGGATTTCAGATTTAGCACCACTGAAACACGTTATAATCCTTTTTTCCAAGCGATATTGGAGCATAATTCCTGGTTGTCAGGCAGCTGAGGCAAAGTGATTATCCAGGACAACTGTTCTTCAAACTCTGCTTCAGTTTATGCAAGCAAGGGAGATTTTGAGATATTAATAATTGTTCTCTGTAGTCTTTGCTGGTTTTGAAGACTTTTTGGGTTGTTTTTAAAGGCAGGGCAGCAGGGGTGTGCAGCCACTGGATGCAGGAGCCCCGTGCTCCCTGAGGATTGTTTTGAATGCCCTGTTCTTGGAGCATTGATACACACACAAACTGGGAGTGATTAATTAAAGATCATTATTCAATTCAGAGAAATCCTGACTGTAGAAACACTGTTGTTGAGGTTAATTAGAACTCTTGTGACACAGGGATGTCCAGGGTGCAGTTCTGTGTTTGGCTGAGATCAAACTGCAGCACTAAAGGGTGTCCTGACAGGGGTTGGGAGAACAGGAATCTAGGTAACAAGTGCCTATCAGTGCTGCCAGCCCTTCCACACCTGAGCTGGACCAACCAGGCTCATCAGTGCAGTTGAGGTGTTTAGTCACACTAATTTTATATGGGAAAATTGGATTTTCTCCTCTCAGCTGGGGAGGATGAGGGATGATTTGTGTAAAGCTGTATTTCAGAGACCCTCATCGGACCAAAATATCAAAAATTTCAGTTTACAGCTAAAAGAGCAGAGGCAGACCCTGTCTCTCAGAGGGAGTGTCAGAGTGGTTTTCAGGGACATGCCAGTTGAGGAGAAGATCCACCCCTGGGTATCGTTTCCTTTGAAAGCTGTGGTGAAAATGTGCTGGGATTTGGGTCTCTGTTGGTTGTAAGGAGATGGGAAGCAGGGAGGGAATCTTCCTGGGGTTAACCCTGCTGTGCCTGTGTGCCAGAGGTGTGCTGACAGGGTTTGGTGATGCCAGGATGGCTCAGCACCAGCCTGGACTGAGGTCAGCTTCAGCCACTGCATAAATGTGGTCAGAACAAGGACTCTGTTATGGTAATTGCAATTAACATATTGCTACAAGAGTGTCTCTCATCAGAGGACATGTGGTGAGGTCAATGAAGGTCTGAGCCAGGCAGCTCAGAATCACCCTCACAGAGCACTCAGATGTGCTGCTGAGGGTTAAATAATCTTTAAATAAAGGTTTACTGGCACAATTAGACTTCTCTTCAATATTCTTGGTCTGTGTTGGTTGGTGCCACAGCACACGTGTGTGTGTTCCAGGCTGTCTTCAGGGAAAACAAGCCAGGAGTAGGTTCCTGTGGATATCAAATATTTAAACCTCATCATCTTAATCTTCTCCATATATCAATTATAGAAAACACAGATTTTTATTGCATCTCGAGATAGCCCTGGAATAATTCCTGGATTGCCTGTGTGTATATTGTAATTTATAATTTAGTTGTCTTTAGAACTGGGGAAAGAGTTTATATTGCAATTAAGCTGCAGACTTTGAGGCTAAATTGAGCTGCACCTTCTCTGAAGGGCTCCAATTTCTAATTATCCAGGCTCAGCCCACGTCCTGATGAAGGAACGTGTGGTGGATCCTGATGTGCCTTTGTATCACTGATCTTCTGAGATGGAGACGAAATAATCCCTAGTTTAGAAAGAAAGATCTTTTCTGGAGCCAGGCAGCAAAGTGTAAAGGAAAAAAGAAGGAAAATTATGTTGGTGGAGGACTAGGAATTTGGGACCCTCTGGCTGCTGCTTCATGAGACTCTTGGTTGGCAGCGTTGCTGTTCATGTTCCTGCTGCCTTGGGTGGACTTTTCTGTTTGATCCCAAGCCTTCAAATCATCTGTGCTGGGGGTGTGGCTGCTGACTGACATGAACTGGGCTTTGTTCTACTCTTTAAAAATTTTGGGAAAACCCCTAAAGTATGGTTTAGGAATCCATTGGTAATTGAAATACAAAGCAGGGTGCCAGGAATGGGGGATGTACAAGGGTGCTTTAATCTCTATTGCTGCATTGGCCTACCTCTCCTGAAATCCTGTTCTCAGGGGATCAGGAATGGTATATTGATTTCCTGGGATTTTTTAGCTGGGGTCTATTGTGCAGAAGGAGGGAATTCTCTAAACAAAAATTCCCTGAGAAGGGGAAAAAAAAAAAAGCCCTGAGAGCTGATCCTGCTTCTGGTGGGGCCACTTAGCAGACAGTCTGTGGCTTGGCAGAACCCACCAGGATTCACAACCAGGTGGAGAAAGGCATTTGATGAAAGAACAGAGATGTTATTTTCAGCAGGACTGGACAGGGACGATCCTGTTGCTCTTGGGCAAGTGAGTGATGGTGGCAGGCAGGGTGACAGCCGTGCTGTGACAGGACCGTGGCTGGGCTGGGGCACCACAGACACACTGGGGAGGTGTCTTTGCAGATATTTAATCAACCATGTGCTGGTCCAAGCTCTGAAATACTGCAGCCTTTTTTTTAATATTCATTATTTTATTTCTAGTGGGAAGACAATAATTCCTAGGTTGCCTTCAGACCTAGGTTAGGTTCAGGCTCTTGATTTTCTTCTAGAAAATTCAGTGCAAGACATCAGAGCTTGTTTCAGTGTGTGTCAGGAAGTGCTGTTGGCCCTGGTGTAGCAGGGCTGCTGTGCCACCCTGCCCGTGGGCAACATCCCTCAGTGGTGCCTGCGCTGAGGAGGAGCTTTGCTTTTGAAGATGTTACTCTGCAAAGTTTCTCTTCTGCAGTCAATCAGGTTTGATTGCAGTGGAGTGTCTCATTTCATCACTGTTGTTTTGGGGTCTGTGCAGTGCAGGCAGAGCCTGTTGTGAATGCAGAGTGAAGATCCTGCTCAAAGGCATGGTTTTCATGGCAACACTCCTTTCATATGCTCCCACAGAGCTGCCAGGATTGCACAGGGCTGCGAGGCTTTGCAGCTCTCCAGCAAGGCAGGGGAGAACCTCAAACGCTTTGTCTTTCTTGAGTGCTTTGCCAAGGTTTCAGCAGCCCAGGCACAGCACACCTGGATCATCCCTGTGATCCTGTGGTGGGAAGGGGTTGTCTTGGAGCACAGCAGCTGTGGTGATCCCGTCTAAGCAGCTCTTGCCAGTTCAGGAGGTTTCACACAGGATCACTGAGGTTGGAAAAGACCTTTGAGCTCCTGGAGTCCAACCTGTGCCCAATCCCCACCTTGTCCCCCCGCTCAGAGCCCTGAGTGCCACATCCAGGTGTTCCTTGGACACCTCCAGGGATGGGGACTCCCTGGGCAGCCCCTGCCAAGGCCTGACCACCCTTTCAGTGAAGAAATTCCTCCTGATGTCTGAGAGCTGCCTTGGAAGTTGCCACCACGTGGTGTAAGCCAAGCGTTTGGCTTCTTGGGGAAGCTCAGCAAGGATCCCTTTGGTTTCCAACTGACACCCCGTGGCTTGGGGAGCTCTGTTTTGCTGCAGAGGGTGTTCTGCAATGCAAATATTGACGGGGAATCCTCACCAGAGCACTGCGTGGCCTCGCGTTCCCTGCGCTCGCTCCGGGGGATCCATTAGCAAACACTGCTACAGAGATGTATATTTTTCCTCTGATACTGAGACAGACAGGAATTTTTTATAAGATGTTAATTTCTAGCTGTTTTAAAACTGTATTTATTCAATGGAATGTGCTGCATCTGACCCTGCATGGGAATGGTGCTGCTGCACATCAGGGATGAGTGGCCGTAGACAAACTTCCTCTGTTTGTGTTGATACTTTAAATATTTAAAAACTTGTTACAGAAGGGAAGTTTAGTTAAATTAGGATTAAATCCATAGAATGTCTTACTGTGTTGGTGCATGTTTGTGAAACTTTCTCATCCTATTCCTGTTACTTTCTCACAAGGAGAAAAGCTGTGCTTGGGAGTGCCAGGCTGTATATTTTATACTGTATATCTGATTATTGATAAGGCAGCCCAGGGCTGAGTCTGCTGGTCTTGTTTGTTGGGTGATTGGGGTTTTTTCTTCGTTTTTTCTTGTCTTTGTTTTTACGAGGAGCAAATAAACATTCAGGGAAAATATTTAGGAAAGCTGGTCAGGATGAAGGCAGAAACTCAGGACAGGGAACAGCAGTTCACAGCCACTTGTGTTCCTAGATGTGTGTGTGTGTTGATCCTGAGTCACAGCAGGCTGTCACTTGGGCTCTTCCATCACAGAAATCAGGTTGCCTGTTGGTCCTCTGGTTTCTTCTCATATGAGAAGTTTGTTCAGCTCTGGGATGAAAAAATTTGAATTACTTTTTTCGACCTGCAAAAACAAAGTCCTGGGCTCTGGAAGAACAAGACTGCTGGTGGGACATTGCTGTTCTTCACTGACTGTGCTTTGGCCAGGCTGTTGTCTCTGCTGTCTCTGGTGTTGATGCTGAGGAGAATAACTGTGAAGCCCAGAGGAGACCGTTGGTTCATCCTCTCTGACCTTCTGCGTCTCAGGCTGCACAGTGTCACTGGGTCACAAAGCTCTGCTCCTCTGAGGTGTCTGTGTCTCAGCCCTCTGAGATGAGGGTTGAATCACTTCCCTTTCATGGTCAGGTGCTCTTCTTTCTTTCTTTCTTTCTTCCTCTACCTGTGTAAGGTATTTGTTGGCACGAGGATTTTTCTCTTGTAGGTGCTTATCCACAACGTTCATGTTGTTCCTCGGTAGGGTGCATAGGATGACCTTAAATTTCTCACTCTGTGCCACTGATCCAGTTTTTAAAGCTTTTTCTGCACTGTCTATATTCTGTATGTCCTATTTTGACACTTTTTAAATGAGTGCCAAAATGGGAATACTTGGCAAAACATTCTGGTTTCAGTCTCGGCAGTGCGAGGCTGAGTCTCCTCTGCCCACTGCTCCCTGCCTGTGACACAGAGCTGTGCCCAGAGCCCTGGCTGCTACCAGGGCTTGGCTCTTGTGGCTGGATTTACCACTTGATGAGTCTCCATGTAACATGAAAACATTCCAGCAAAGAGTTCCTTTACCTCTAGATCCCCCTTAGAAGGGTTTGGAGGTGTTCATGAGTGTATCTCAGAAACATGGATTTTACCAGGAAACTGATGTGGGTTTTTTCCCTGCCCTTGTAGGATTCCTGGAAGGCTGAACGACAGGAGGACTCCCCTGGGAGAGCTGAACTGGATCTTCACAGCCATCACAGACACCATTGCCTGGAACGTCCTGCCCAGGGGTACGGGCAGGGGCAGCGGGGGGGCACAGCAGGGGCAGGCTCAGGCAGAGCAGATAAAATGAGACACTTAAATGAGGAGAAAATTAAACCCTCATATTGAAAGAACAGATCAGGCCTGATCTTAAAGCTGGTTAATTTTTTATTTCTTCTTTTACCAGAGCATTGCAGCAACCTGATCATTAGAACCCAGAAAGGGTTTTTCTGTGCCAACACGATTGTTTTAGCTTGAATAATTCTCTTTCTTACTGTATTTGCAAAGAGCAATCTGTTTTCTTCCAGGCTTACCATAAATAAAGGGTTTTTTTCCTCTTTGTTGGTAAGGCAGTTGTGTTTCCCATGAGTAACTTCATCCCATTCTCTACCCCTGTTCTGAATTGGTACTTCTGGAGCACAGGCAGCCAAATTTGTAAACAGTTCTCCAACTCTGCTCTTCCTAATGCTCACACAGCATCAATTCTTCTCTGTCCTGTAGAAGAGAGCACATTTGCTATCTTTTAGGATTCATTTTGGCTTCTCATAAGCACATCAAACTGCCAGTTAACAGATGGATAGTTCTTGATTAAACAGTACACAGAGGTCCTGTTCTCCCTCAGTAATTTTCCAAAAACTTAGGCTGAGCTGAAGTGCAAAAGCAAAAGGGGGATTTTATCCAGAAAAGGCAGAAAAGAACCTGAGGTAGAAAGTGTCTAATTGTGTTGGTGTGAAATGGAGAGGAGCTGCAGTGCTTTGAGGGAGCTCTGCAGGCAGAGTTTGACTGTGGGTGTGTCACTCACTGCAAAACTGCTGGAGATTCCTCCTTACTGGAACAAAATATTAACGGGGCTTTGTGTTTTAAACCATTTTTGCATAGTACCTAAGGTGCTGCAGATGTGCATCTGGTAACTCCTGCACTCTCTTGGCAGATCTTTTCCAGAAGCTCTTCCGGCAGGACCTGCTCGTGGCCAGTTTGTTCCGGAACTTTCTCCTGGCAGAGAGGATCATGAGGTCGTACAACTGCACCCCCGTGAGCAGCCCCCGGCTCCCCCCCACCTACATGCACGCCATGTGGTGAGTGACACAGAGACTGGGCAGCTGTGCCACCAGGGATTGGCACTGCTCGGGGCTAGGGGGGATATTGGGAAGGAATTCTTCCCTGGGAGGGTGGGGTGGCCCTGGCACAGGTTGCCCAGAGAAGCTGGGGCTGCCCCTGGATCCCTGGAAGTGTCCAAGGCCAGGTTGGACGGGGCTTGGAGCAACCTGGGCTAGTGGGAGGTGTCCCTGCCCATGACAGGAGGTGGAATTGGATGATCTTTAAGGTCCTTCCAACCCAACCCATCCCATGATTGTGCTGAAATCTCTGCAGTGCTTCCCTGATTCAGTCAGTGGATCAGGAATGGAACAGCTTGTGGCAGCCTAATGCTCATCTCCAAAGCTGCTTCTGCTCTGTGCATTCCTAATTATCCTGTAATTCTGTGGTGCAGAACCTTCAGTCCAGCCATGTCATCTTTCACTCCAAATACCAAAGAAATGGGTCATCTGCTGCCTTTATTTTCCCAGAGAAAAGCTGGTCCCCTGGGATTGTGCAGGGTGGGAAGAGCCGAGGGCTTGGGGGAAGATCCTTAACTTGCATTGCTGAAGTAGAAGAAATTTTTGCTGCAGAGTTCATCTACTTTTACTGTTGCTTTTAAGATGATTAATGGAAATGGAGGTGGCACAGTTATCAAAATGCTCTTAAATGTAGTTCTGACGATCAAACAAATGTCCCGTGAACAATCATAATAAAAATAATAATAATAACGGTAATAACAAAAATGCTCACTTTTATTTTCTTACTCAGTGTGATTAATAGAGCAGCACCAAACTGGGCAAAGTACAAACTGGTGCAGTGAGGCTGATGGGGTCCCTGGGGGAGAGAACAGAGCCTTGGTAAAGGCTGATAAAGTGACAGGAAAAGGTAACTGAGGGGGTTTAACCTGCCTGCGTTTTCCAGAATCCTTTGAATAAGTTTCCTTCATAAAAATGTGGAGGAAAATGAATGTAGAGGAGGGATGAAGGGATGATGATGAGTGTAACATGGAGTTCAAATTCTCTGAGCAACCTGGTTCTAGTGGAAGGTGTCCCTGCCCATGGCAGGGGTGGAACAAGGTGAGTTTTAAGGCCCCTTCCAACTCAACCCTTTCCATGGTTCCATGGTTTCTGTAGGGAATGGAGGCAGGCTGGCAGCAGGGAGCCCCAGGAGCCTTTGCAGGTGCAGGCAGCCACTGAGGAGGCATTTGCTGGTACCACAAAGCTGCTTTAATTATGGAAATCCCGGAGGCAGTCGGGGAGCCTTTGGCTGGAGTTGTCAGCACTTGGGCAGCTGAATGTTCCATGTGCTGGGACGTGGCAAACCATGTTCCTGAGTGCTTTGGATCAGGAGCTTCCAAGGAAAATGGCTTTTGTCATTTGTGGGGTGAGTTGTTTTATCAGTGTCACATGAAGGACTGGGACACTTAAAACTGAAGAGCAGGAAAAGCCACTCGAGTTCCTGTGGTGTCTTTGAGCTGCTGGTGCTGCTGGATGTGGCAGAGCTCGAGCCATCAGCTGCAGTTTCCAGTTGCAGGAGGGTAGAACGTGGTGTTGCAGGGATTTTGAATTTAAGCCAGTAAATTTCTGGAGTTATTTATATCTTCCTTGTTACCAGCATATCAAAAACCTATATTTTCTGTCCCTTATAGGAATATAATTCATTCTTATTACCAGCCTACTGAAAGCTTATATTTCTGGCTTCCTGTGGGATTATGACTTGACCTGGAGTTGGTGTTGCCATCCATGGGCTGAACCCCAGGCAGGAAACTGGGAACACCTGGATCCTGTTGTGTATCTCTCCCAGAGCTGCATGGCAGCACGATGGAGTCTAAAACACATTTGCTTTGTTCATATTGTAGTTCTCCTGGAGCAGGATGGTGCTGGAAATTCCTTTGTGAAGGTGCAGGATGATGCTGGAAACACCTTTGTGCAGCCCCTCAGAGCTTCCATGGGATACTGGCATTGGTGCTGGCTTTTAGGATTCACCAGAAGAAATTCCTTAAGAACAGTCACACACAGGGCTCTTTTCCTTGTGAATCCCAAACACTGGTGAAGTAGACAACAAGGGAGCAGAGAACTGACACACTTTGTTCTGTGTCCTCTAAAAAACGTGCAGTTTGAAGCAAATCCAGCAAAGGGGAAAATTCCACGTTCGTCAGAGGTGGCTCAGGGCATCATTAGGAACTTTCAGTAAGGACAGATTTAGAAACTAATTTAGGGCTCGCTTAAATGTTTTCTAAAAATAGTCACCTTCCATTCAGGAATTTCCTAATGGATCACTGATCTGAAACCTCCAAACCCATTTTGCTGTTTGGATGAACTGGGTGATGTGATGAGGGCAGGAGAGTTGGGCACAGGGGTGCTGGAGAGGATGGAAACTTCCAACAGAGTGATGTGATGATCGTGTTGAACCGATGTCCACGTCATTGTGTGGTGCATGGTACAGCAAGGGCTTCTGATTGCTGCTTTATGGAGACTTTTCCTGCATTTTTGACCCCCAGCATGTCAGGCAGTGTTATGGGGAGCGAGTCCTGGCTGCCACAGCAAGATCTGCAAGTGGTGGGAGCAATGCTGCAAAAAATTCCTTATGCTTGAGCATAAATTTACCTCCTTAATAATTCCAGCTGCCCTTTTTTAGGCATTAAATCTCAACCATTTGCTCTTTTTCTCCTTTACTAACCCATGTCCCTGCCTGTCAGATAATTTCCCCCAGATCACACTTGGAGGTCTTCTAATCTGGGGATCTGGCACAGGTGTAACAGGAGGACTGAGACTGCTGGAGGAACAAGCTGCTCTGCCTTTGAGTTTAGTCCTCTTGAAAACAGCTTTTTAAAATATTAACCTAGTAAGTTTTTGTTCTGATCAATTCATTTGGGAAATCAGTCTTGCCCCTGCTCATTATCCTTTTTACCTGAACAGTTGAGAAAAAGTGAGAACTTTCATTTTTTCAGAGACCCCACAAGTCTTTCTTTCACCAAGAGGGCACCATGTTTCAGAATCAGGAGAGCTGATCTCTGTGACCATGCCCTCTTTGGTGGGATCTGACACGTTACTTCTGCTTTTTCCTGTTCTTGGCCTTCTGAATTTTCCCTGCTCAGGTGTGAGCCCCTGGGGCACGGGCTGGTCGTGTTTGTGTGGTGCCTCACACTGCAAGTTCTTGGCTGCTGCAGGCACTGCTCTAACACAGGATTAATGTTAATATTAATATCTATTGATTGCCTGGCTGTGAGTCCTTCTGGCTGTTGTGCATAAGAACAGAGCCCGGATGCTCTGTCAGCACCTTGATCTCTGCTCTGATGGATCAGGGTTTATGCATTGCTGCTGTTGCCAGCTGGTTTTATTCATGGCCTTTGAAAAGACCTAGTAATGTCTTTGGAAATATTTCCTAACACGGGTCATATATTAGACCCCAAGTACCTTAATTATGCTTTGGAAGAACTGCAATTCATCCCTAATAGAAATACTCTGGTGGTGTGTACACAGACCGTGAAATTCAGGTTGAAAGGGAGTCATAATAAAGCAAAAGAAAAGGAAACCATAATGCAGCAACCCAGTTACAGGTGAGAGAGGAGTCCTGGGGCACTGTGGAGTGTGCAGGATGGATGCAGGGCTGCTCAGCCACCCCCCAGGGAAATGAGGCTCACTGAGCTGCACTGAAACATTCAGTGTCTCAGCAAGAAGGTGGTGATTGTTTGAAGAGGTATTTGGAACTGTTTGACCTTTGAAGGATTAGATTAATTCAGATTACTCTGTAACCAGATTTTTTTGTGTCTTTGTGTTAGTTTTAACATCTCTGAGTCCCATTATTGGACTACGGAGAGTTTGATGGAGAGAAACGTAGCACAAAAATAGCAAAGCCTGAGCTCTAAGTTGTGTCTGGAGCAGGGGGATGTGCTGGGAGAAGGCAAGGATTTCAGAGTTGTGCCAAATATTCATAGCAATAACTGTTTTTTAAAAATAGCTGTGTCTGAGCAGCTCCCCAGCTGTGTCCTAAAGCAGCTTAGGAAGGTCACGGGGTCACTGCAACACAGGTGAACTCGGGCTGGGATCTGGACATTCAATCAAACAGGACGTGTCCTGCAGTTGTACTGACAGAAAGAGCAAATGTGAAAAGTCTGCAATACTTAAGGGTTCCAGAAATACAATTCAGAACAAGGAGATACCCTGGGCCCGACCCCAGGACTGCACGTGGCCTCGGCTTCCCTTCAGCTGCTCCCCGGCACAAACACTCCTTTTCCCTGGTCCTGTGTGCAGTGCAGTGTGATACACACGACTCCCAGAGGAAAGGAGAGTGTTAAAAGATGTCAAGAATACATTATAAAAAAAAAGGGACATGAGAGTTAAAAGCATTAGACATTGACTCAGCCCAGAAAATGTGCGTGTAAGAAAATGTGCCTCCACGAGCTGCCAGCTCAGGGTGCCCGTGGGTGCAGACAGACACACGCAGCTCTAATGGGGCTGAATTTCTGCTGTTCAAGTGTTTCTGGGGGTTTCCATCGCCCAGCAACTCGTGGGTTTGGGCAATAAACCAGTCCCTGAGCAGGGCTGGGACTCTGCCTTCTGTTCTCTGCTTGAAAGCCCAAACTTTGCAGCTCCTCTGGGAAACAAAGTAAAGAGGCAGCTGATGAGTTCATGTTAAATTATTGAAGGTTTAAACAGTCCTGCTGTAGTGAGAAGTGTGTTTGACTGAGGAGGGGGGAGGGATTGAGAGATCCAGATAGATCTAGCTAGAGCTAAATCTGGGGGGCTTAAGGAAAGGGGCTTGGGCTGAAGGGCCAAGAAAACCTGGAACTAAAACACAGAGACAAATACACGAGTGTGTCTGTCGTGGGAGAGGAGTGTTACCAACGGGACTGGGGGAGTGCTGGCCCTGGTGTTTGTTGTGCAGTGGTGAGCACTGCCTTTTCACTGGTGCTGATCCTGGACTGGGAGCTGCAGGATCCCCTGGCAGGAGGGGGCTTGGTCTCCCACCGTGGGTCCCTGGTTGAGCTGCTGGATCAGTTCCCTTCACAGACCCTTCCTGCTGATGTGCTGCCTGGCTTTACTTCTTTGGGATAAACAAAGTCACTTCCTTGCTTGTTTTTTTGGTTGAGTCCATCTTCCAGCTAGGGAGAGATTTTAGCTCTCAGTACCTGCAGAGCAATTAGGACAAGGTAGTATAAAAACCCCTCATAAACACATTCTTTCATAGCACAGTGTAGTGGAGTTGAAGCACTGGGGTATTTTGGCCCTGTGTCACCTTATCACAGTGGAGGGTCTGGAGTACTGGAAGAGCACAGTGAGGAGGGAGGAAAGAATGATGCTGAGGGATCACTGAGCCCTTTTTGTACTAAATGTAGTGAAAACAAATCTTGCAGAGCCATTTCCAGACAGCAGTCTGTGCAAAGGGGGATGCAGAGATCTCTGGGTTGGCTTCCATAAATCACTTGTGGGATGCAACACCCCCATCCTGGTTCCCTGCTGCTCCCTAATTTATCTCCTGTTTGTTGCTGAGCTGTGATGGGAGTTCAGGCAGCACATCTACCGTGTGCCCACCTCTCCAGCTCCCTCGGGCATATTGCAGCTGTCAGTCACTGCTCCTCCTCCCCACCACAGCCCTGACTGTCACAGGGACTGGAATGAGTGTTTTCCCATCCCTTTCTCTCCCCACCCCTGTGGTTTAGTCCTTTCCCATTCATTTATGGCTTGGTGTGAATCTTAATTATTGTAACACCTGTTTAGTGCCACTGCCTGTTCTGCCAGTGCAGTGAGTTACCTGTGTGTAACTTGTGTGTAACCTGGAGCCTGCTGAGGGAGGAGTAGCTGTTACAGTGGTTGGAAACAGAGGAGCTTTACTTCAGGCAAACCTGTTTGCTGGTGTCCTGTTGGGGTGGGAGGGTTTCTGTTTCCCACAGAGGGAACAGAAGCGGCGTGTTCAGGAAATCTGGAAGGGCTGGAGAATCATTTGAAGTATTTGATTCGAGCAGAGTCTCCTCCACAGCTGGTGTCAATCAGCAGCTCTCAGCTGTGGTGAGCAGGAGCACTAAGATTACGTGTTGAAGGTTGAGGAGGTTTGAGTGACGTTGGCCAGCACTGCTGAAGGTTTGAGAAGTCTGAGTGGCACTGGCCGAGTGTCTCTGCTGGCTTTTAACAGCCTGTTCTTAGAAGCATAAAAAAGAGATTTTGTTTTAATCTACCAAAATCTCTTTTCGAATTTTTTTGTTTGTTCTTTCTGATAACACTTAAAGCCTTTGAGATTTCATCTCGTGGGGTTGCTTTGGACATTTTTGTAGCAGTATTAGTGCTGCTTACCTAAAATTACTGTGAGGAGCTCAGCGTCTTAGTGCTGTGCCTCTGCAGTGTAATGACCTGCAAAGAATCCTTTTATAGGCAGCCAAAATCAGACCAGTTGTCTCTGATCTCTAAACCATTTTCTTCCTGCGTAGTAAAACTTATCTCAAAGGCCCTGTGGACTGACAGTTTGCAGTGCTGCAGAGAATTTCTTTAGGTGTTTTGCCCATTCCTCCAAGAATCCTGAAACTCAGAAAATGTGCCTTTGCTTGATGTAAAATTATCTTTATATTTGCACTAATTGCCTTTGCCTCAACCAGGAGTAAACACCTGTCCTGAGCTCTGTGTAAATGTTTTGTCTCCAGCCTGGGTCTGTGTGGAGCTCGTGGGAAGCATTTTCTGCCCATGCTTTGATTAGCTCTTGATTAGCTCTTAATTATATTGGCAGCACGTTGTCAAGCGGAAGGTGAGTGTGGGAAGCTGAGGGACAAGGTCTGGGGCTGCCAAACCAAGCTGCAGATCCTGAGTCCATGGGAAAAAAAAATGCAAGAGCCTTAGAATTTATTTTTCCATTAATTGGAGAGATTGGTTTTGTTTGAGAACAGCTCCCAGTTGTGCTGATGGGATAGATCGCTCGGCAGTGGGTCTGATGGAAGGTTTGTTTGACTCAAAACAGGGTGATTTAAGGAGTTATTAGAGCTGGTGACTAAAATACAGAGTATTGATTATCACCCACGGCCTCGTGTGTGCAGACGTTCCGAGGAGAAGAAAAATGGCTTTGGCTATTGGTGTTAACACAGGATGCCATGAGCCACGGAAGAGCCAACGTGTCTGGAGAGGAAATCTTTCTTTTGTGGAAGAAACCCCATGGGTGGGGGTTTAACTTAGCCCTGCAGAGTGCATAAATTCATATGCTGAATGAAAAGTGCACAGAACGTCTCTGGGCAGAGTAGGGCTGATCGTTTCTGGGGTGAAAAGTAGCTGTTTCACTATTTTAGAGATGTTTGAGGAACTTTGGAGCCCAAATGCATTTATTTCAGTCTGTGAGCATGGTGAAGCAGCCTGTTGGCACCTTTGCTTTGCACTGGATCAGCCACAAAAGGTTCCTGGGCCACCACATGTAACTCACACGCTGCTGTAGCTGTTCCACTGAAATGTCCTAAGTCACAGCTGCCCAGAGCTGGGGCTGCCCCATCCCTGGGAGTGTCCAAGGCCAGGTTGGACAGGGCTTGAGGCACCCTGGTCTCGTGGAAGGGGTCCCTGCCCATGGCAGGGAGTGGAATGGGGTGGGCTTTAAGGTCCCTCCCAACCCAATGCATTCTGTGAGTTGGTGATTCCAGACTTCAGCCACCAGTGGTACAGTGGATAAGTGTAAAAATGGAACTATTTAGGTATTTTCTCTTTTTCTGGTGTGGTGTCCATCCCTCCATCCTTGGGGTGACTCATGCAGAGCTGAGTTCCCTTCCCAGGGCTGCAGGGGCACACAGGGACACACAGGGACACACAGGGACAGTGTCTGTGCTCAGGAGGTGCAGAAGGAGCACGAGTGTGGGGGTGTATCCATGTATCCATGAGCTGGGAGCTGAGGGGCTGCTCAGCAGGGATGGAGCTTCCTGAGCTGCTGTACGTGGCTGGAATGCAGGGCAGGCGAGGGCTGGGGTGCACGTGGAGGTGTGAACTTAATCCTGGATTGGAGCTAATCCAGGATTAAGTTCATTTTTTGGTTTGAAAAAGAAGTGTCATCCGGTTTTGGATGAGGACAGGTGTGTAATAAGGCTGCAGCTGCCTCTGGCTCCTTTCTCCAGTGCAGAGAACATCGATTTCTGTGAACCTCTGTGAACTCATCCAGTGCTGGGCTAGACCTTCTCACTGCCTTTCTGAATTGTGTCCACATTATACCTGCTTTTTGAAAAATACCAAGCACATCTAAGCCAGTCAGACAACACTGCTTTGTCCACATTGGTGTATGATCAGAATTTAAATTTCCCTTGCTATTCCTTACGGATAACTTGTAATTCCTTCTCTTCCCTCTCTCACCCTCCCCTCCAGGCAAGCCTGGGACCTGGCTGTTGACATTTGCCTTTCCCAGTTACCCACAATTATCGAGGAGGGAACTGCCTTCAGGGTAAGTTGGGGAGTGTCCTGGGGTGTTGTGGGCCCAGTTTAACCCCCCATCCAACACCTCAGTCCAGCACGTCCCTTCTGCTTGTTGAGCCTTGAGCTGTGGCAGTTTAAGGGTTTGTACCTTTAGAAGGGAGTCCCAACGTGCAGCACAACTTTTTATCTGAAAGGCTTAAATGTGAAAATTATCTCTTAGTAGAGTTCGTTTCAAATAAACATGAAATGGAGGTCGAGGGTATGTTCAAAGAGTTCTCCTAAGCTCAGTGTCATTGATAGGAGTCACTGGGGTTTTTTTGCTTTATTTGACTGAGAGAGCAAAAAAGTAAAATTTTTAATATTATATTTGTCTTAAATTCCTCTATTCAGAATGGAGTTTCTTGGTATTTCTTGGTGTTTCTTGGTATTTCTTTGACATTTCATGAACTGAAACCTTCAAACAATAACGATTGTACAATCTCAGGTAGCTGTTCCACCCTGTTGCCTTTCTAATTTTCAGTAACATTCTTGCATTTTGGTTGGGTTACCAAACTTCCAAAGTTTTTCTGGCTGTAATTGCTGGTTGTCTCCAAAGCCTTGAGTGCAGGAGGAGAACTGTGGGCTCCTGCCAGGCTGGGAGTTGATCAGGATGCCCTGAGGCCTTTATCCTCCCACCCCTTGCTTTCCTCGCTGTATGTGCTGTGTTTTAAAATGTAAAAAATATGATTTTTCTTCCCCTGGCTCATGTTCATTTTTATTTCAGGTCTCTAACAATGTCAGTGGGGGCTTTTATATTAGTGCTAAACCTCACCTGGACATTCTCTGTTAAATGAGCTGAAATTCAGCAGATTCTGAGTATTTTGGGGTGAGAGGAGGCACAGACTTGCTGGGGATCAGACACAAGATCAGTAAATGAGTGGTTGTTCTCAGGTGGGGATCGATTCAGGGCAGGGTGGGAACAATTTACAAGCAGGTTTTCCAGCCTGACAAGTGTAGTTTATTGTGTATTTTGGCTGGAACTGAGGTGGGCTGAGCCATCAGTGTCCAGTCAGGGGTGGATTCCAAGCCAAGCCAGGCACTGGACATAAAGGCAGGCTCAGGGCTCTTCAGAGCCATTCCTTCTGCTTCCATTTCCAATCCAGGGGCAGTAACACTGTGAGGTTTGTGCCTGCTCTGCAGAGAGGGACAGACATCACCTGGTGACGACTCCCTGTGACACTCACAGTCGTAGGAATCCTGGCTGTGCTTTGGGAGGGAGTGGAGGGCTCACCCCTGTGACAGGGGCTGGAGCAGGCAAACACTTGCACCCCTCTGATCTATTCCCTGGGTTCTGATCAATGCTTTGTGCTCAGCCCTCTGGATTTCTGCCTGGTGCCAAGTGTTGTGGTTCAGCAGAGGTTGGCTGGCCCTGGCCAGGGAGGAGGAAAGGGCTGGAGTCACTGAGGGCATGGCAGCCTGTTCACCACCCTGTGGCACAGCTGGGATGGATGTCTGGGCCAGGGGAGGCACAGGGTTGCTGCTACCCCTCCATTCCCTCACTGCTGGAGGCTGAGAGTCCAGCCTGACCTGGATAAATCCACTGACAGCCTCTTGAGGCTGTTCTGTCTCAGCAGCTCATCACAAACCAGGTGTGTCTGACTCCTGCCTATTCCTGAGGTGTTCTTGCCTGCTCAGACCTGGAAAATACAATAATCTGATGGAGAACGGCCTAGGGGGTTGTGGTGCTTCTTCAGGGGGTGTGTTTGGGTTGGTTTGCTCCCCCTCCTCCACCTCTTCACTCCTTTTTTCCCCATTGATTTCTGCTTCCTTGTGGATTCCTGCCTGGAAGCTGCTGCGTGCTCTGGTCAGTACGTTCTCACCCAGAGCTTGTACCACATACTCAGGGAGATGGATGGCACATGGAGCTTATTTTCATTGCTGTTGGATTGTGTCTCTGGACTGGGCAGAGGCAGCTCCCAGTGCTGCTGTGGGAGCGGAGCTGCTTCTGCAGAGTGGATAAATCCACTGCTGTTCCCTCTGCTTCTCCTGGGGAGACAGCAGCCACCTTGCCCTAAGACCTCTTGTGATAACTTTTCCTCTTTCTCTACTCTTTCCTTCTCCTTGCTTCCAAACACTTACATGAAGGAATGCCAGCATATTTAAAGAGAATTGCATTGGAAAACTCGTGTACATTTAAAAGCCGCCAAACAAACACATCAGTTACAAAGAGTGGGTTTTGGAAAACAATGAAGTCCAGAGGTGCCAAAACTATTTGCTTCGCTCCTGGTTTTTTACCCCAGCCCTGCATTGCTGTTCTTGCCCCCGCAGCACAGCCCCTTCTTCGCAGAGCAGCTCACGGCGTTCCAGGTGTGGCTGACCATGGGCGTGGAGAACCGCAACCCCCCGGAGCAGCTGCCCATCGTCCTGCAGGTGAGCACTGGGCTGAGGGCCCTGCCTCTCCTACCTGGCCCAGGGGACCCTGCCTCTCCTGCCTGGGCCAGGGGACCCTGCCTCTCCCTGTCCGTGCCACGTGTCCATGCCTCCCCTGCCTGCTCAGCACAGGGCTGCCAACCCCATGGCCTTGGGGAACATAAATTCCATGGGTTTCTCCAGGATGAATTAGAGCTGGTTGCACGTCCACTAGACCTGTGCAGATGAAGCCCAAGTGCTTTTCCAGCCCCATCCTTTGGCTCCCCTTGGGTCAAGCTCCCACTCCAGTCCATGTCAGCTCTGCTGCCTCCCCTTTGCTCTGGAGTCACTGATTCTCTGAGCAGCACATCTTTGTTGTCTCTCCTATGGCATCTCCTCTGTATCCCAGCTCTGTCAGGCAGAGACTTTTATCTTCCCCCTCTTTTCAGAGAGTGGAAGTTACTGCAGCATAAACAGTGTGGAAGTGGCTCCTTTATCCATCTGGTACAGCCTGGGAAGTGTTCCTTTTAATGTGGGGCTGAAATTTTGCTGCAAGAACATAGAAACAAGTCTCTGAAGACCGTGCCTGGAGGAATGTAGAGTTCTGGTAGGCTTTGCTCAGACAAAACAAAGTTCCTATGTTTAAAGGAGAAGTAAATCCAGGAGAAACAGAACAGGGCGTCTCAGGCGATGTTTTATGGCAAGGCCCACATTGCAGTTGTCATCTGTCACCTGCTCTGGCCTCTCCTCCCCTGCAGTTTGCACTGACAGAAATACAAACCCTGGCCCAGGTGCCCGTGGGCTCTGCTCTACCAACAGCAGAATTTAAAACCTTTCTGATTAAAGGACTGTGGTCCTGGTCCCTTCTAAAAGGGTCTGTGGGGAGACTCTCCTTCCCTGTCAGCTGCCAGCTGGATCTGTGACCGACAGCACCATCCATCTCTGCAAGACCAAACTTTCATTTCCTGAGCCTCCCAAGCCTTGAGAGATGATGTAGATGTGGAGAAGTGTGGTTTGTCTCTGTCACTGTGATGGGAGCAGGCAGGCTTCTGCTCCAGCTCCAACTTTGCTGCTTTCCAATGGATTGTTTGGCACCAGCGGGCTCTGCAGGCAGCAAAACTCTGCAGTGAAATTGGGAGGTCACCTGGCAAAGGAACCTGCTTTCCTGCCTGGAGCAAAAACAAGCTGGGACAGCGTAATTATTGTTACAATTATAGAATATTAATTGTACAGTGGACTCAGATGGGTTGTTAACAGGTCTGAGATACTTAGAGAGCAGCTGAGGCAGGGTGGGAAGGGAGTGTTTCAGACCCTTTTTGGTGTCTCTTTGCTTTGACCCCGTGGGAGTGCTCAGACCCTGCTGCTGTCACCCCACAAAGGCTGATTCTGTGTTCCCAGTTTAGATTGAGGCTGGGGAGGCCCTGGCACAGGTTGCCCACAGAAGCTGTGGCTGCCCCATCCCTGGAACTATTCCAAGTCAGGTTGGACAGGGCTCGTAGCACCCTGGGCTAGTGGAAGGTGTCCCTGCCCATGGCAGGGGGTGGGATGAGATGAGCATTAAGGTCCCTTCCAACCCAAACCATTCTGGGATTCTGAGTGCCCCAAGGGGAGGAGGTATTGAGTACCCAAGCCATGGTACCAGCTATGAAGAGCCCGGATTTACCAAGGACAGGGAAATGGCCCTTTGGAAATGGCCTTTTAATTAACAGACTTCAAGAAGCTGCTTTCCACTTGGAATTCTTGCTGTGCGTGGGGCAGGTTGGGCACAGGAGGTTTCCTGGTGCAGAGAGGAGAGAAGCTGGGATTTGTATCTTCACCTGGAAAGCCTTTTCAGTTAGATTAATTTCTTTGCCCAGCTATGACAGAATTTGGGGATTTCCTTGGCCTTTCTGCAGGTCAGAGGATCCCAGCCGTGTGGGATCTGAGCACCCTGCCCCTGCCAGGCAGGTCCTGCTGCTGTCCCAGCCCTGCCTCAGCCTCCACCTGCCCTGGTTTCTGGTACTGCTTTAATCACAAACAGCTGCCCCTGTTATTCCTGGGCTGGTTTATGGAATAGGCTGGTGCCAACTAGGACAGGATGACCAAAATCCTTTCTCTTATGACCTGTCCTGAGATCCGAGCTCAGATACTCAGAGTGAAATGTTATTATCACATCCTCCTGTTTCTTCTGTACTTTTCCTGCACTACTTCAGTATCCAGTACCAGTCACCCACAGTGTGAGACATGAGCCAAGTAATTTAGTTATTCTTCAATGTTAAACATGAAAAATAATTTAATTTCAATATGCAACGTGGAAAAACACTGAGAAGGGGATGGAATTGGGGAGGTAAATCAAGGAGCCTCTTTCCCTGAGATCCATCTGAGGGATGTTGCTCAATTTAAACCAAGGATTAAATGTTGCATTCCAATATCTTACATCTGTTAAGGAGATTAAGAACTGCAAGTCTATCTGTTAATATTTCACACCAGGGTAGGTATAAGCCAGTAAACCACTACCTCATTAGCGTTGTCAGACTTTGTTTTAATGAGATTTTTATTAACGACTAATGTGACCTTTTGCTCCCTCTTAAGTCTCAGATATTGATTTGCCAAGGAAAGCAAAGCCTCTCCTTGTGCTCCTGAGCTGTTTGGAGAGTGGGAGGCTGGGCTGTCGCTTCCCTTTGGATCCTGCTGCAGGTGCCATCACGTTCCTGCTCTGCTGGGCAAGGCAGGTTGGAATCCACAGGAATTGCTTCCCTCTGTGTCGGGAGCAGCTCCGTGAGGAGCGTTCCTGGGGTGTGACCCCTCACTGGCCAGGCTCTCACAGCCAGGGTTTGTCCCCCAGCCTCTCATTCAGACCGTGCTGTTCCAGGTGCTGTAACGATCCCAAGGTCCCTTCCATGTGCTCTGCAGGCACAGGGATTTCTGCTCTCTCTACAATATCCCTTTTCCCTCTCCTCTGCAGGTGCTGCTGAGCCAGGTACACCGACTGCGAGCTCTGGATCTGCTGGGAAGATTCCTGGACCTGGGTCCCTGGGCTGTCAGTTTGGTGCGTGGATGCTGCACATGGGCTTGGAAATTCTGCTTTGTCTCAGTATGGGTGATAAATACAGATGGTGATTTAGGGAAGGAATGTGTGGAGGATAATCCACAGATTTGACAAATGAGCAGTTTTGTGTGTTCATGTGTGGGAAATGCAGCAGGTATCCCGACAAGAACAATGGCTTTATTAATCAAATTCATTTCCATGCTCATTTCCATTACAGTGAAGAGGAGTTCCTTGGGAATAGTTTAGTGTAAAATAGTGTAAGGGGCAAACCAGGAGGAAATAACTGGGACAAGTAAGGTTTGTCATGTAAAATAAATAGCCCAAAAAAGCATACACATTTTTTTCTGTTTTCTCAGCTTACTGTCTGCATCACTTTCTTCTCTTTCTTTATCTGTTTGGATTTTACAAGCTCTTCTGAGCAGGCAGCAGCTGCATTCTGCAGTTTGGGAAGTGGCAGCACAGTGTGGAGCATAAATAAGAGTTTAACAGAGGAGCAGTTTAAAACACTCCTGTAAATGGAGCTGTTGGTTGATAAAAGTGAAGATGAAGCACCAGCTGGTTGTGGAGCAGCTCAATGATGGGACTTTTTAGTGGTTTTCTTTACCTCCCTCCTCCACCTCAACCAGGAGTCCCTTCTGCAGAGGGAGGCTGGAGGCACAGGCAGCTTGGGAAGAAAGTGTGTGTTAAAGGGGATGTTAAAACCTCTGGATTGTCCAGTTCTGTGGGGATCAGGACATAGCTGAGGTCAGCACAGGGCCCTTTGCTCTGGCTGGGACGTGTGTTACACCCTCACTGGCTGTGTCAGGGCCATGCCCAGCTCCCCCAGGCTGGGGGGCTGCTCACCCTGAACCCCACCACACATTCCCTCTACACTGAGCTTTGGGAAGGCTGTCAGCCCTCACAGTGGGATCCTCAAGGATTTCCTGTGTTCCCTGCCCTCCTGGGAGTGCTCTCTGATCCCATGGAAAAGGCTTGCTAAAAGTCTGTGTAAGGAGAGCCCTGTTAATTTGCAGTGGGAAGGCTGGAACTGCTGAGCTGTTTGCAGTGTTTGGAGAGAGCAAATGGCCCCAGCTGAGGGGAGGGAGCAGATTGTGAAGCATAAAATAGCCCAGGCTGGAAGGAGTGAAAGCTGGTGCTGGATTAGCTTGGAGTCTCCGTGGACCAAATGAGTCTGGAAATATCTGGTGACATTCAAGATTAAAATGAGCAACAAACACAGAGGGATCCCCTCTTTACTAGAAATGTGGGAAATTGTTTCCTACCAGGTTTCTCAGCTGTGTCATTAAAGATGCTGTGTCCTGGCAGCACAGCCCTCGTGTTCGGCCCTTGGGGCTGAGCTGCCCCCAGGGTTTGTTCACAGGGGTTTGTTCAGGGGGTTTTGTTCACAGGGGTTTGTTCAGGGGGGTTTGTTCACAGGGGTGTTGCTCATGGGGGTTTACTCTTCTCTCTGCCTCCCAGGCCCTCTCTGTTGGCATTTTCCCATATGTGCTGAAGCTACTTCAGAGTTCAGCCCGTGAGCTGCGACCACTCCTTGTCTTCATCTGGGCCAAAATCCTGGCAGTGGACAGTGTAAGTGCTCCTGGTTCTTTGGGGTTTCAGCAGTGTGCCTTTTTTTTTGAAGATGGCCTCAGACAGAGCTCTGGTTGGTGTGGTTTAAAATAAATAATTAAACAGGTAAGTAACTGCAGATAAATTTATATAATTGTCTATACAGCTCTATGGTTTGTGGGTGCAATTAGTTGAGCACAATAAAATTATTAGGAGAGGTGCACACATTAATTCAGGCACAATTATAAGCCCATATAGAATGTCTGAACTGCTTGTGGATGTTGGATCTTTCCTATTTGGGGGTTATTTTTGCATATCTCCTCCATTTCAGTATGGAGAACAGCACTGAATTAGTTGAAGTTTTCCCCTCTGTTGATCCAGCATTGTCAGGTTTAGTTTTATAACTATATTTTCATTAACATCCTAAGAGGATTTTGGAAAGCAAAGAAAATGAAAACTATTCATCTTAGAGCTATTCTTGAAAAGCTCATTTCTGAGGCACCCGAGGCTGGGGCCTCAGCCCCAGGTTCGTGTCAGGAGGCTCAGGTGTGATTCCCACCTGGTGTCCCATTGTCCTCCCCTCCAAGAGGGCTCTCTTCCCTCCTGCCCCCTCACACACTCCCTCCCATGCTCTGTTGTTGCCTCGCTCATTTGCAGGCTTTGCTTTACAGCAAGACAGAAAAAATACTCTTAAATGGTGTGTTTGGGTTTTTTTTCTGCAGTTTCACTCCCTGACTCCACCAACACATGGTGGGAGTGGGAAGGGAGGAGGGGGCAGCTTCCCCAGGGAAGGGCCATGGGCACTGCTGAAGGAGGGGACAGGCAGCAGCTCCTGTTCCTTGCAAGTAGAGTATTTTCTGTAAGTTCTGAACTTCCACACCGAGCCTGCAGCCTGTTTTGGTCACGTTGTATTATTCACAGTGGAGCTGCTTACTCTGTGAGGAGGAGGAGGTGTCAGTGGTGCTGGATTCCAGATTGTTCACAGGATCTGAGTAGGGAGGGGTCGAGTGAATGTTCTGGTTTTAGAGCCATCCCTTCCCTCCCTTGAGCCTCAGGAATTTGGGTTGGAGAGGCAGCACAGTCAATGAGTGTGCTGTTGGTGTCTGTGTGCCTACATTAAAGCCAAGAGATTGTTTTGTGGAAGGAACAGAAAGTGATGACACTGAGGAAGAAAAGGGGGCAGAGGGAGCCTGGTGTGTGCAGTGACACAGGAGTCAGGAAAGCCTCTTGTAGCTGCAGCCTGGCAGCAATCCAGGCCCTCTGCTCTTTGCTCTGCCAAAACCAGCAACTTCACTCCCTTCAGCAATAAACTATTCTCTTGCATCTCTGCCTTGCCATCCCCCCCCCTCAGCAGCCAGTTCCCTCCTTCACCTTCTCCTCCTGATAAAAGATGCAGGATCCTGTCTCTGGCCCGGAGCACCCAGGGGAGGCTCATTGCCAAGTCAGTGTTTCCTCCCTTACATTTCCACTTTGGTGCTGTGTATCCTTTTGGTGTGACCCCATTACATCAGCCTGGAGCCTGAGGTGGTGTGTCAGCAAACCCCTGTGCTTACCCCAGCCAGGAAACCTGCCCTGTCTCCTGGGGGGCTTGGAGCTGCTCTGCAGTTTAGGTTGTGTGTAGCAGGATAAATACTGTGGAGGTTTAATGTGGGGCAGAGATGTCCCATTTAACTCTTCCCCAAGCAAGAGGTCACGTTTCCAGCTGCTGTTTGTGTCCCTTTGGGGGTAGCAGAGGGTTCCCTGCTCCTCCCTGTCAGCCCATTCCCGTGGGGTGTTTGGTTGCAGCCCCAGGAAGCGTTTGAGCTTTAATTTGCTTCTCAAATGAAAACAAGATTTGAGAAAAATGGTTGAGACACGAAACATTTATACATCACTGGAGGAGCGAATTCATGTATGTTGTAGTTCTCATTGTGGTTTTCTTGGTCTCTTTTTCAGTCGTGCCAGGCTGACCTGGTGAAGGACAATGGACACAAGTATTTCCTTTCGGTTCTGGCAGATCCTTATATGCCAGTAAGGACAAGTCATGTTTATTCAGATTCCTGTAGCATTTGCTTACCTTGTTTTAGCTGATCTGTTCTGTTCAGCTTCTGTTCTGGTGCTGGTGTGGGGCTGCCCCCACACCAGGGCTGTACTGGGGAGTCAGCAATGCTCCCACCAGTGTGACAGAGGCAGCCAAACCAAACAAGGATTTACAGACAAAGTTCTATAAGCAGATTACTCTGTGGGAACTGGGGGCTCCAGGAGGCTGCAGAGACAGGGAATTGCCCCATAGCTTTGGCAGTTCCCTCGGCAGCTGTTGTTTGGGTTCCTGTAGTGGGTGCTGGGAGCCCTCCCCGGAGCAGGGTGCTCTGAGGGGATCGTGTGGGCAGGCTGGGGAAGTGTCTCAGGTGTGACAGGCTGTTGCCAAGAAAATTCCAGCTTTCTTTCTCCTCTCTCATTCCTTTAATGTGACACAAACTGCACTTACAGTGCCATGTTTCAGGATGGGGTGTAGCTGTTCCCTGCCCTGTTCTCCAGGTAACCCTCAGTTGTGGGTTGTTTTCAGGCTGAACACAGGACAATGACAGCATTTATCCTGGCTGTGATTGTGAACAACTACAACACTGGGCAGGTGAGTTCCAACAGCCTTTTCCCTTCAGTCTCTCCTGCCTCTCTCTGCCTTATGCCTTTACTTCGATGGAAGTGTCCTGGCTTGCATTACAGCCCAACTCTGAACTGGGAAACTGAACTAGGAGGTTGTTTTATGTTGTTTCTGCATGGATTAAAAAAAAGAAATTGGCCTGGGGGTGTGACAAAGCACCTGGCAGTGGAGGGTAAGGACATGAGTCACTCCACAGCCACCCCTCCAGCAGCCACTGGCAGACTGGGAAGGAAACAGTGCCTGGTCCTCTCAAGTGGGAACCCGATGGCTGGGAATGGTCTGTGGAATCAGCCATAAACCCTGGGGCTCTCACAGGTGCTAGGAACACTTCCAGTGAGGGAAAAACAGGCTTTGTGCCTTACAGGAAACATTTCTAATGCTCAACTATTTAACCAGCTCTAGTAGCCTGTGCCTGCCCTTCCCTTCACGCTGCTGCCAAATGGGATTTTGTAACAAAATCAGTATAAAACCACTGAATGATTATTTTCTCCTGATTTTCTGTGTCTTTCAGAACTAGTCTTGTTTTGTGGGGATGAGGTGGGGAGCTGTCATACCCAGTAAATGGTGTTGCTTTGTGTTGCAGGAAGCCTGCCTTCAGGGAAACCTGATTGCCATTTGCCTGGAGCAGCTGAACGATCCCCACCCGCTCCTCAGGCACTGGGTGGCCATTTGTCTGGGCCGGATTTGGCAGAACTTTGACTCGGCCAGGTGGTGTGGAGTGAGAGACAGCGCTCATGAGAAGCTCTACAGTCTCCTCTCGGATCCAATCCCAGAGGTAAAAATCCAACTTTTCCCCTAAATGCCAGTTGAATTGGCAGAATTCTGGCAGAGGACAGAAATTCCTACGAACCAGGGCCTTCCAGGGCTTTATGTTTGTGTCTGGTTCAGAGAAAGATCTTGTTGCTGTTTCTTCATGGTGATGCAAATCAAACAAGCCCTGCAAGAGGAGCATCCAAAGAAATGCAGGGGAAGTTCATACAACCCTAGCACCCTGGGATCTGGGCACTGGAGTTGGGAAATGCCATGTTTTTTGCTTCCTTGCATATCACATTATTAAAATCAGATTGTTAGAAATGTGGTCCCTAAACTCACTGTGTGTTGCAAAAAAACCTTTGGTCTTTTTGTCCAAGTGTGAAAACTGTTCTCCCACTGCCATGTGTGAAAATCCACCTTTAGCTGGACATCTTTTACCTTTGTGACACACTCCCCAAGAGAAGGGACTGTGCTGAGGCTGGCAGTGACTGACAGAGCCCCTCAGAGCCTGAGGAGGTGACAGCACACATGGGAGAAGGGAGCTGAGCTAAACACCTCTGATAACGTGCAGAGATTAAAGATGAGAATCCCCTCCCCATTCAGCCTCTGTCCTGCATCCTCCACCTCCTGTCTCTGGCCTCAATCTCTCCACATTGTGAGCAGTGTTTCTGCAGAGGTGGGGTGGGCTGTCCAAAGTTTTTCCTTGATTTTTCTCCTTTTTTCCCCTCATCTTCTGCATTTCTAGAAGCCCATATTTGAAGACTGTAGTCAGCACTCCTATTAAAGATTCACATCCCAACAGGAACTCTGTGTTTACCTTATTGCTGTTAATTAATATTCAAGGCAACACAAGTGGAAGAATCACCCATGGGAAGGTCACCAAGTATTCTGGGAAATTAAATATATCCCGTGTCTGTGAATACTTAAAACTCAGTGCTTTGCTGAGGCTGCCTGGGTCGTTACTCCCCGTGGGCTTCCCCGTCCCCCTCGCTGTTCTCCTGACACAGCAGTGCAGGTTTCCAGAGGCGCCGTTTGTGGGGCACAGTGAATCCCCCTGGCAGGGGAGCAGTGACTGAGGCTGTCTGTGTGCCCAGGTTCGCTGTGCCGCGGTCTTCGCCCTGGGGACGTTCGTGGGGAACTCTGCGGAGCGCACGGATCACTCCACCACCATCGACCACAACGTGGCCATGATGCTGGCCCAGCTCATCAACGACGGCAGCCCCATGGTGCGCAAGGTACGGCCGGGGGAGCTCTGCCCCGGGCCTGGCAGGGCCTTTCACAGCCTTCCCAGGGAATTGCTCTGCCTTGGGAGGGTCTGGTCCCTCACGGAATCATCATCGAATCCCAGAGTGCCTTGGGTTGGGAGGGACCCTAAAGCCCATGCAGTGCCACCCCCTGCCCTGGGCAAGGACACCTTCCACTAGCCCAGGTGGCTCCAAGCCCCGTCCAACCTGGCCTTGGACACTTCCAGGGATGGAGCAGCCACAGCTCACGGAGTCTTCACCTTCAGCTTCTGCAGAGAGGTGTCAGCACAAGTGATGAGCAGCATCAGCCCAGTGCTGAGGCCGAAGGCTGCACGCTCAGGGGTCTGTCCAGCAGTGTCCAGGGGTGCTGCTGCATCCACATACCCTTTGGCCGCACAAACATTGCAGCATTTCCTTTACTCTGCTCTGTCAGGAGCCCCTGACAGGAGTGATGCAGGTGCAGCTGTGGCAGTGTCCACATGTGGACAAGGTTGTTGTTCAGATCTGTGTTTCTGTGGGTTAACAGTATCAAGTATTCCACTAAATGTCTGGAAGAGGAGGGATCATCTCAGGAGGGAATTTTTATATCCTGGGTTTTTTTTAATTTAAAGAGAATGTGGAGACAGGGATAAGGAAGTAGAGCAATTACTCTAGAGTCTTCTCAGGTGCACAGAACACTGAGAATTCCTCCTGGGCTGCTCTTCTGCTGATCACCAGTCTGATTGCAATATTTTACATTACACGATCTCAGGTTTTAAATTAAATAGTTTTATGTTGCTAAAAACATGGAATGGTGGCAGTCCTAGGGGAGGAAGAGGAGGGGGAGTCAGAATGCTGTGGAGAGAGTGAGAGCTCTGTTCAGTGAGGTCTTCCTGCCTTTAGAACCCTAAGAATGGATCACAGGCAGCTTCGGAATAGTTCTTCAGATTTGGGAGAGTTACAGTTTCTGATGCACCATCATACATCAATAGTACATTAAATAGTTTCTGACATTCTGGATTGTTCTTGAGGGTTGTTCTGAGGTGTCCTAATGCTTGTGTTTACTTAACTGGAACATCAACACCCTGGCACTTGTCACCAGCATTGCAAGGATTCATTTCTGTTGTCTTGTTCCAACATTTAATCAGTTTAATTCAAAAGAGAGCTGCGTGTCACACTGAATGCTCTGTGAGATTCATAAATCTCTCCTTGGGAGATCAGTCCCTGAACAGAGACAGCAGCCAAAGCCAGCTCTGGCTCCTGTTGCTGCTCAGTGCTTTCTGTGGTACTGCTTCAGTTTGACAACGCTGGGCAGAATCAGTGACAGAATCATGGAATGGTTTGGGTGGGAAGGGACCTTCAAGCTCATCTTGTTCCAAGCCCTGCCATGGGCAGGGACACCTTCCACTAGAGCAGGTTACTCAGCAGTGGTAGTGCTGGGTAGGAGTGGTGGAGTAGTGGGAGCTGGTTGAGGTAGAAAAGGCTTGTGAAGAAGCCTGCAGCTCATCTCTGTGAAATAAGGGAGAATTATTAGCCTGGATGGCCAGCTAATAATAGCAGAAATAATGACCACATTGGTCTGTGTTTGCCTGCAGTCCCTTGTTTCTGGCCTGTGTAACCATGAGGTGTTTCTTGTGCTCTTTCCCCAGGAGTTGGTGGTGGCCCTGAGTCACCTGGTGGTTCAGTACGAGAGCAATTTCTGCACCGTGGCTTTGCAGTTCATAGAAGAGGAGAAGAATTACCCTCTGCCTTCTCCAGCTGCCACAGGTGGGGTTTGGGTGGGCGGGATCCTTCGTCGTCCCTCGTTCCCTTTTAGCCTGACAGAGAACCACTGAATTTTGTTCACGTTGGTGGTGTTTTAGTTACATATTTGCTGGGAAATAACCAGAACACTATGACTGTTTGTGATTACAGCTCTAATTGCTGTGTTTTGCCTCCGCAGAGGGGGGCAGCCTGACGCCGGTGCGGGACGGGCCGTGCACGCCGCGGCTGCGCTCGGTCAGCTCCTACGGCAACATCCGAGCCGTCACCACGGCCAGGAACCTCAACAAGTCCTTGCAGAACCTCAGCCTGAATGAGGAGTGTAAGACATTTCAGAATGCTTTCAGTTCCCTTTCCTTCCCCCTGACCCCACTGTGCCAGCCAGGAGATCCCACGTGTGGGACAGCGAGGGCTGGAACCAGCACTTCAGCCCCAGTTATCCAGCTCCGAGGGCTTCCATGAGAACCTCCCTCGTAATTAGTTCCAATTTTCTGGTCATCAGTATTGATTTTCTGGAGTGTTTGGGGACCAAAAAGGTGTCTTCCAGCTTCCAAGCATAAGTGGATTTTTAACTCAGTCTTTTACTTGTTCTGTGTTTAATCATTCAGTATTAAAAAGGGGAGTTGTGGGTTTGCCCACACCTTCCCCGACTGTGGCAGGATTTAGAAAAGAGCTGTTATGTCTGGGTAAAAATTGTTCTCTCACCAGTCCTTGTTCCAGCATCTGTTCTTTTCTCTTGGCAGCTGGAAGCTCTGTTGCATTTTCCCCTGGGAACCTGAGCACGAGCAGCAGTGCCAGCAGCACCTTGGGCAGCCCCGAGAACGAGGAGTACATCCTGTCCTTTGAGACCATCGACAAGATGAGACGAGTCAGCTCCTACTCCTCCCTGAACTCCCTCATAGGTGAGCAAAGCCTCTCCTGCCCTTCCCTTGGGGTCACCTCTTGGCTGTGTGGAAGGCTGGCATCTTGGCTCCTGCTTGATCTTACTCCAAGAAAATTTCTCACAACACTAGAAATGCTATTTTTGTGTTTGGTTGGGTTGCTCCTGTTCTGGTAGGAGGACTGGGAATGGGAGCTGTTGGCTCCAGCTCTGAGCTTCATTACGATGGACAATGGTCCTGTTAGGAATTTAAGCACAAAAATTGGGGTATACAGGATTTCCACACCCACTGCAGTTTCACTGGCTAGACAGTGAAGCAGGGACTCCCCATCCCGTGGCTGCAGCAGCTGAGCCTCAGCACTAACTGCTTCCCTGGGGATTTGTCGTGTGGGTTGTGTTTCTGTACAGCCCCTGTGCTGTGTTACTCCTCCAGGGAAACCTGACCTAGCTTGTTTCCTCTGCAGGTTTATATGTATATAGTTAAAACAGGACTTAAAAAATCCCAGATTGTGTCTTAAAAGCAAAAAGACTGAGTGTTCCATAGAACTCTGAAGGTTCCATGGCTGATTGTGCTGCCTCCCATCCCCTCTCCATTGTCTCTCCTGGATAAGCAGCTCTGGCATCACGACCACCACTCAGCAGCCCCTGTCTCTCCCATTTCCCTCTCTGGATGATGTGCAGAACTCTGCAGAGCCCAGAAGGAAGGGGAGTTATCCCTGTGTTTGTGCAGTGCCTGGCTGATTTGGGTAATGGATTGTTTGCGTTTCTTTTATGGAACAAACTGGAACGTTTACGTGAAGCTCTTCCACCCCAGTTGTTTTTCAGGTAACTTCCCCAGTGGTGTCTGACTGCCACAACAGCTTTGCTTTAAACTACCTGTAGTTTTTCAGACAACCTAAACCATTTTGGCATGACAGCACAGGCACCAAGCAGAACCTGGCTTTTGGAATGGTCTCTTTCCAGGGAAAGCAGCATGCACAGGGAAATGCTGGGGGAAGTCTGTATTTCCTTTGTAATCAGTAAATGGGCCCATATTTTCACACATCAGTGAAAAGAGAGTGGTGTAACTCAAGAGAGGGATCACCTGGGTGATAGACCTGTGTGACTGAAGAAACATTTTTCTCTGCTCTGTGTTTTCTGGGAGAATTAATGGTGATTTGGCTCTTCTGAGTTGAAAGATTCTGGGATGATAATTCCTGAGCCCCTGTGGCAGTTTAAAATCATGTGTTCATTAGGAACTTGATCAGTTAATTTGCTTTTGATTGTCACTAATGAAATTGGATCTCATAAAGCATAACAGGAATGTTAGGAAATTTCTCTCCACCTTGAGCTAGGACTTGAATTTTCCCATTCCCACTGGTGCACCCTGTGTCTGCTTGATGGCTTGTGCTTGTCTCACAAGGGCTGTACAGCAGAGCTGGAAAAGAATCTGGAGAGGAGCTGGAGGAGGTGAAGGAGACCTGGGAAAGCAAAGAGAGCAGCTCTCCAAGGCCTCCCTCATTCCTATTCCATCAAAGAGCTCAGACCCAGCTGGAAATGGCAGAGCTTAGAGAAGTGTTTAAAATTCATGACTCGCACAGAATGCCATTACCTTCCCATTTGCCTGCTGCAAGCCAGGCTTTTCTCATTCCTGCTGAAGAATCACCATCCTCCAGCCCTCTCCTCCTCCCCAAGGAGAGATGCCATCAGCCCCAGCCACCCTCACAGCTCTGTGGCTGTTGTGCCTGGCCCGGGTTAACCCCATATTTAATGTCCTAATGGGCACTAAACTGCTGCTGTACAGCCAGCGAGGGGCAGCTCAGGGAGCCCACCTGGGTGAGAGACTTGTCGTGACTGAAGGAGTGTTTGCTCTGCTCTGTGTCCTTTGGATGAGGAAATGGGGCTTTGGCTCTGCAGTAACACCTCTGCCAATATCTGAGGCAGCCAAAGCAGTAAAAAGGATGGTTTTGGGCATGTGGGGAGACTCAGAGCAAAGCAGAAATCTGGTCTGTAAAAGCAGAAATTTTCAGGTATGGTTTGACTGTGTCCTGTACTCTGCATTCCCTGGGCTGATCCACTGATCACAGAACCATGGAATGGTTTGGGTTGGAGGCACCTTAAAGCCCATCCAGTCCCACCTCCTGCCCTGGGCAGGGACACCTTCCACTGGCCCAGGTTGCTCCAAGCCCCATCCAACCTGGCCTTGGACACTTCCAGGGTGGGGCAGCCAAACCTGCTGATGCTCAGGCCTTTCTTCCTCTCTTGCAACTTTAGAAACACGGTGCCAGAGGGATTGTTCTGGATCAGCCTCTTCACTGACACAGAGGCATCACACCATGTACTTCCCATGAACTGGAGGAAAAGCTCTCCATTCCTCCTTGTTCCATTTTACAAGCAGTTCCTAAGCTAACTGTACACCAAATGTCCCCATTTAGTGCCCCCCCAAATGCAGCTTGTACTCTCAGCCAAGGTGTTTGTTCTCTGGCAGCTGCTCCTTGGCCAGACAGGGCTGTACCAGGAGAGACATTTATTTCTGGCCCAATTTTCAAGCTGGCAAGAGGCAGTTTGTGGTTAGTCAACAAAGACATCAGTTTGGAAGGGAAGCTGAGCCTTGCTGCTTTTCCATACAGCCACTCATTAATCTTGGTGTCCTGGAAATGTTTAGTTTTAAGATAGGAAAAGGGAAGGAATTAAGATGGGGGGTTGCATACCTCGAGGCTGATTATTCGTATCCAAACTGCATGATGAAAGTCTTTGTCCTACAGAGAGCATCGCTGGAAAGATGATCTTAAGGAGTGATCAAAGAGGGAGGAAAATAAATCTTGGAGAGATGAAATGCTGGGGAATAGTTGTCTTTTCCAGCGGGAGAGGCTGGGGGTGGAGAACTGTTCACCATGTCACAGGATCTGCCTCAAAGTAACAGTGACAGCGGGAGGTTGCTGCAGTGAGGATGAGGAGAGCAGAGGTGGAGGTGGACAGGGAGGTGCAGAAATAAGAGTGAGTGTTAGGACAGGTAGAGCCTCCTGCTCTCTCACCAGGCAATATGTTTAATGCACAGAGATAATGAGAAGTAATAAGGAGCAAAACACAGGGATCTGGGTAGGTTTTGGAAATGCAAACTTGCTGTGAGGCTGGTCATGGTGGGCTGCTTTCATGTTGGTGACATCAGCCCTGGTCAGGGGGTACCTGCTCTGAGGGAACTTCTTTCTAATGAGCTGGTTCTGGTTTGTGCTGAAGCATTAAAAGCTCAGCTCTGCCGTTGGGCTCACCTGGTTTGGAGTGTGCAGGAGCCCGTCCAGAGCCCAGGGGAGGCTCTCAAGGGGGCAGGGGGGGCTGGATTGCTGTGGCTGCAGGGAACAGGCAGTTTGTCTGAGTGGAGTTCAGAGATCAGCAGGGACTTGGGGTGTCCTCTTCAGCCAGGGTCCCTCTGTGTCCCTCGTGGGAAGAGAGGAGACTCGTGGGCTGCACGTTGCCAGGGCAGGTGGGGTTGGCCCTGGTGGGAAGCAGGTCCCTGAATCCCCAGGGCTGTTCAGCCTGACGTTTTTCCCTGCGTGAGAAGGTCCCATCCCCTGTCCCCGTGTGCAGGTTCGTTCCCTGTCACTCCGTGCCCATCCAAAGGTGTCATTCCCTGCCCCAGGAGCTGACTGTGGGCCAGCTGAGCAGCAGCCCTGGGGCTGCCATTGGTCTGGTTTTGCTGCGGTGCCGGTGGGGAGTGGAACTGCCCCTTCCGTGGAGGTCAGGGCTGGAAATCACTGCAGTGATTTTTACAGGGGTTTGGAAAGAAACCCTGTCCCAGCCTGGCAGATCAAAGAGAATAAATAGAGCCATTAGCAGTCGGGTTTGCATCCGGTGTGGCCCCCTTGGAGCTGCAGGACCCCGGCCCAGCCCCAGGCTGGCTGTGTGGGGCTCGCGGGTGAATGGAACCAGGCTGTGTGTGTGCAAGGAAAATCAAAGTCAAGGGAAAGGCAGACCATTTGTTTTTGACATTCTGGGCGTAGAGGAATCATTTTGTAAACATAAATCCATACTGCAAGGTCCATTGAACTGGCTTTCAGTCAGTGTGACTAATTACAGAGCTGTCTGCTTAGATTAACACCCATCTCCTGCTCGGCTCTTTGTTTGCATCTCGTGGTTAGCTTGTGCACTTGAGCCCATTACGTGAAATGAAGCTGCTGTTCCTCCTGCCACCTCTGCTGTTCCCATTATCCCAGGGACCTGGAGCTCAGGATTTTACTCAGAGCTGTTTCAGAGGTGGGACTCCATGCATGGAACAGCACTGATGTGGGGAGGTGGCGTCGGGGGGGACCAGCCCTTGGAGCACCAACCCTGAGCCCGAGATGCTTTTGTAGAAATTCCCTGTGTTCTCCTCAAAGGCTGCCAGGTGAAGGAGGAGTTGCACCAGCACAGTTTCTGCTTTAAATTTGGGTTTTTTTCATGATGCTTAGATGTATAAAAAATGTCATTGGGTTTCTTTCTTCGTGAACGAGGTGGTTATCAGAGACCTGGAAATTCTGCTGGGTGCCCCCTTGCTCTCCCTTTCCTTTTACTCTCTTTCAAGGGCTTTAAAGAATTCAAGGCATCCAGTTTTCCCTCTGGTCCTTATGTAACTCCTGACAGACCCAGTGTAGGAGGCAGAGCTCTGGGCACACCTCAGACCTTACCTGCCTTGCTGCTTTTTTCCTCCCACAGCTTGTAGCACTTCGCCTCCCTCCCTCTCTTGTTCTTTATCCTTCCCCCTCCAGTTTTTCTTTCCCTGGTAATAGAAGCTTCCAGGATTTAACATTGTAATATATTTACAACCTTTACAATTTCACAGTATTATATAAATATTCTACAGTATTATATAAATATATATTTATAGCCTTTACAATTTACAGCCTTATAACAATTTACATTGTTATATGTTTTACAGCCTTACCAGTGCCTAAAAGGGCTCCAAGAGAGCTGGAGGGGGAGTTTGCACAAGGGTCTGGAGGGACAGGACAAGGGGGAATGGCTTCCCACTGACACAGGGCAGGGAAGAAATTCTCCCCTGTGAGGATGGAGAGGCCCTGGCACAGGTTGTCCAGAGAAGCTGTGGCTGCCCCATCCCTGGAAGTGTCCAAGGCCAGGTTGGACGGGGCTTGGAGCAACCTGAGCTGGTGGAAGGTGTCCCTGCCTATGGCAGGAGGTGGAATGGGATAGTCTAAAATCCCTTCCAACCCAAACCAGTCTGGGATTCTCTGATTTGTCAGGCCCTGTCCCTGACCTGCTCTGGAAAGGTTGGGGTCAGTTGGAGGAGTCTTTGTGGGTCACCCCCAGCACAGTGCAGGTGGTCCCATCATAGACACTTGTGAGATTTCCAGGTGAGAATTTAAGCAGACATCACTTGGAACATCCTTTGGTTTCCAGCTGAGAGAGAGACCCTTTGCAGATGGAATGAGAGGGAGGAGTTGGGTTATTGGGATATTGCCTTGGTCCTTTGCAGAGAGATTTGTCACAATCTGGGGATGTCCTGACAGAGGAAGGTTCCCCTGGTCAGGTAGAGCAGCATCCGAGGGGCAGCCTGTTGTGGGCTCCTGGAGCTTGTTGCTACCTTCAGCCAGAGCTCAGAACTGGTCTGTCCCAGTCTGTTCTGCTGCTTTGAGTATCAGGTTTAGCACCTCTGCCAGGTCAGAAGCTGCTTGGTGACCAAGGAGCCCTTTCCTCCCAGCTTTATATTTAGATGCCTCCAGAAACATGAGAGGAAAAGCAGTAACAGCTTGATCTGTCATTTACCATTGATTGTGACTCATCTGAAATCTCTATTTTAGCTCCTTTTTTTTGTTAGTGCAACCACTTTAATATTGTCCAAATGGCTCAACTCCCAACTGGGGTGTTGCATGATTAGACACCGGGAGGGTTCGGAGACAGAATAACAAACTACTCGCCTAAAAGCAGCAAAATAAAATGTTCACAGAATTTTGTCAGTTGTTACAAATGCTTATTAATTTGATTTGTACTTTGAATCTGTCGGTCCCTTCTGCTGTAATACCAAATGGCAGATATGCTCATTAAATAACAAATTGGAGGGATTGATACAAATGTCAGTAGGAAAGGCTGAGTTGGACTCGCTGCTTCCCAAAGGCTCAGCTCCTAAAGCTCCTAAAGCTTTAGGTTTAAACATTTAGTAAACTTGTAGAATGCACAAACCCCTAAACAATTCGATAAAAATAATCACAAAAATATAAGGCAGTGGGTTTATAGCATTTAGTATTTTAGCTCAGAAACCTGGACATTATCCACTTGGCCTTTCCAGGTGATTTGCTTCAGGAGCCTGGAAAAGCAGCAGCTTGACTGGAGCTGATTTAGGGAGTCTTAAATTTATTTGGCTTTCTCCCACTTTGATTTCACAAGCCCTTGCAGAGTTCACAGACAGGCAAAAGGGAGACAAAATTCCCATGTGGGGTGTTTTTGAGCTCCTCTATTGATGTTTCCTGAGATGTCATTGGGGATGTTTGGAGTTCTAATGAATTTTCTCACATCAGATCAAAGAGTTGGAGTTGATGGATTGTCATGTGCTGCAGCACAAGGCTTTGGGTTTGTTGTGTTTTTTTTACTATTTTAGGTGTGAGTTTCAACAGTGTTTATACCCAAATTTGGAGAGTGCTCCTTCACTTGGCTGCCGACCCCTATCCCGACGTCTCCGACCTGGCCATGAAGGTTCTCAACAGCATTGCCTACAAGGTATGTGCCTGTCCCTGCTCACCTGTGCCTGCCAGGTGTTTGTATGTGGATTTGTTCATGCTTAGGCAAGGCTTAGGCAGACTGACCTGGATGGGTCTGTTGGAGGGCTCTGCCTATTGCAGAAGGAGCTTTTAATGCTTCGAGATGATAAACTCTCCTATGAACTCTTGATCAGGTAAAATGAATAAATGGGGGAGGGCCTGGGGTTGTTTTAGGGTATAAATTAGGTGCAGACCTCTGACAGTAGGTCTGGTTTAGAAGTCTACTTGTCTAGATCAGTCCCTGGGATAAACCTTTAAATATTCTTCATTAAATTATCCGTTTGCAAACTGATTTAGATAATGCAAGTGGGACTGGCCTGCAGACTGAAGCCACAACGGCTCTCCAACCCAGGTGAACTAGTACATGTGAGTCAGCATGCAGACACCCTGCCACTCCTCACCTCCAGCCCAGGCTGGGCGCCTAAACCTCCATCCTCATCCCATCTCATCCTCCCAGGCTGACAAGATGTCCCTGGAGGCTGCCATCACTGGGGAGGGGGCAGCACCTCCCCCCCCCCCCCCAAACCAGGCCACCCCAGAACATCTTCTCACCACCTGCCTCCCCCGGCCCGGGCTGGGGACAGAAAGCTCTGTCTGACCCTGCTTTCTGGTCGCTGAAGCATCGAGACCATGAGCCATTGCAATGCCAGGTGACGTCTCTTACTGGTCATTCCCAGAGAATAATCCCAGATCTTCAGCCCTGGGCTGCTGAGCTGAAGCTGCAGTAAGAGATGCCAGCATTGTGCACTGCCATCTTAATGCCCTAGAGATTTCTTGCTTTGAAATCATATTTTCTCTTGGGACGATAGTTACTTATTTCAACACTTTTATTTGTTTGAAGTGTATGTGTCAGCGAGCAGTCAAGGCTGGGTTTGGGAGAGAGAATTATTTTGGCAGTGGGGGCAACGAGCTGAGCCCTTCCCTGGTGATATGGGAGTACAACAAATGACTGCCAGGCTGGAGATGCCAAAGTGAGGGGAAGAAAGAAGGGAAAAGGTGGAAGATTTCGCTCTCTCTGCTCTAGATGCATGAAACAGTTTCAGTTCTGTATTTTGGAAGGCTCTTTGCAAAATGAAATATTACTCCTACTTTTAAAAGGGATATGAAGTGGAACCAGATCTCCTTTCCCTCACTTGAATATTTTTTCAGGACTTGCTCCCTGGCCAATGGACAGATGGATTGATACCAGTACTGGTGCTGCTGTGCCCTGCAGCCGCCCTCACTGGCACTGCTGGTGCCAGCAGGAATTGTGATTGTTATGTTGTGATATCCCTAGGGAGTGTTATGACCGATTGGGTAAATTCTGTGTTGATTCTGACAACTTTGGACCAAACTGTGTTGGTACTGACCAGAGTCCCAAAGCTCAGGTGATGGGTCTCATGCATCTCACACTGTGTCTCGTCAGCTGGTCTGTCCCTGCTTCCTAAGGCAGCAACTCTTCCAAAGGGTTTGGAAAACAAGAAGCATTCCTGTTTACAGTGATTTTTATCTGGGGATGCTTCAGTGAACAAAACTTATTTGTTCTCTTTGCCTTAGCCATGAGATCCGTGAGGAAAGTGTTTAAACATGGACCTTGCCGTGTCGGTGCCGTGGGCTTTGCTTTGGCCAGGACCACCTGGCCTGGCTGCCTCCTAACAAGGCTTTCTTATTAGAGCAAAGACCAAACAACCTGTCAACTGCCCACCAAAATGGGATTTAAGGCTCAGATCCCAGGTCATGGTCTGGCCTTTATGGGTTCAATTCTGGCCACAGCCCTGCCGTGAGTGGAGCTGCAGGACCCGAAGCCAGAGCTCCAGGCTCTGTGCTGGGAGCTCAGGCAGGAGCTCTCTGGTTTCTAATGCAAATTAGTGACAATTAAATCTTTGCTAACTGTATCCTGAGATCTTTCCTTGGTGCTAATGGAGCTTTGTTGGATGGAGAAGGGAGCACCTGGATGCTGCCCGGGGCACATCTGTCCTCCCCAGTCTGTGCAAACACTTCCCAGTTTGGGGGTTGAATTTTATCAGTGAATACAAACAAAAACTGATTTTGTTGCTTCGACAAGAATACTGCTTCAGGTGAAGTAAACCACTTGAGTGTTCCAGAGGTTTAATATTTTGGTGTAATTTGTTAAAAATTCGGGGAAGAAGAGGTTTCATTTTAGAACTGGGACAGCTGAGGATTCCTTAATTGACACAGCTGAGCAGAACTTTGTGATCTGGGAGACCTGGCTGGGAACTTGGGGAGCTCCAGGGGAAGCACCTGGACAAACAAGCCAGGAGCTTCTTCCTCTGGATGGTAGTGGGGAACTAAATGTTTATCACAGAACTGTGGAATAGTTTGGGTTGGAAGGGACCTTAAAATTCATTCAGTTCCACCCCCTGCCATGGGCAGGGACACCTCCCACTAGCCCAGGTTGCTCCAAGCCCTGTCCAACCTGGCCTTGGACACTTCCAGGGATCCAGGGGCATCCACAGCTTCTCTGGGCAACCTGTGCCAGGGCCTCCCCACCCTCCCAGGGAAGGATTTATTTCCAATATCCCATCTAACCCTTCTTCTCCAGAGACATTTCAAACCCACCTGGACACGTTCCTGTGTCACCTGCTTGAGGTGGCCCTGCCTTGGCAGGGGGGTTGGAGTGGATGATCTCCAGAGGTCCCTTCCAACCCCAGCTGTTCTGGGGTTCAGGGATTTTTCTTTTCAAACGAGCCCAGCCCGTCCTGCTGGGGTTTTTAGCGGAGCCCTGAGCATGGCTGTGTGTCTGCAGGCTGGCTCTGGGCTGTGGGGATGGGGCTGTGTGTGAGCAGACGGTGAGTGGGCTGCCCAGGCGTGCAGCCTTCCTGCAGGAAATCTGCTGCTTTATTCCCTGGGCCCTTCAGACACTGCTGCTTCTCACCCAGACTGCGGCTGGGCTGGGATTTATGTTTATGATGCAGATGGGAATGGTGCAGCTCTCCTTCCCGGCCTGAGCTTTGGAAAGCGCCCAAACAAGCTCTTTGGAGTACCAAAACAAACAAAAAGGACCCAGGATTCAGTGGTGGCCTCTAAAGGCTTTCTGAAATCAAAAAGTCTTAAAAGGAAAGTTTGCTTCCCCCCAGGTTGCTTCATCCAGGTGTTTTTAATGAAAGGCTTGAGGCAGAATTACAGAATCACTGAGGTTGGAAAAGCCCTCTGAGACTGAGTCCAACCCTTCCCCAGCAGTGCCAAGGCCACCACTCACCCATGTCCCCAAGTACCACATCCACATGGCTTTGAAATCCCTCCAGGGATGGAGACTCCAGCACTGCCCCGGGCAGCTGTGCCAGGGCTGGACAGCCCTTTCAGGGAAGGAATTTTCCCAATATCCAGCCTAAACCTCCCCTGGCACAGCTTGAGGCCATTTCCCCTCATCCTGTCGCTTGTTCCCTGGGAGCAGAGCCCGACCCCCACCTGGCTGCAGCCTCTTTCCGGGGAGTTGTAGGGAGTGAACCTTCTTTTCTCCACGCTCAGAACACGTGTTGTCACTTGAGGTCGTGGTGGGAGCTCAGCTGTGAGGTGGGAGGGAAAGGCTGGGGGCTGCAGGGAGCCCTGGGCTGCTGAGGGGACCCCAGGCTGTCCCCTTGTCCAGTGGCACCTGAGGAGACCCTGGGCTGTCCCCTTGCCCACGTTTTTGGGGTGCTGGTGCAGGTCCTGGGCTGCAGCTGGCTCAGGGAAAGGCTGATGTGTTGCTCAGAGCCATTTCCATGCAGGCAGCACGAGGGCACTTACTGGTAAGTGTTTTCTGACTACACAAGTAGTGAAATCCTCTCGTGTGTTGGGAGCAGCACAGGGGCTTTTCCATGTACGTTTTAACCCCCCCACTGCAGAGAGCTCAGTCCCTGCAGCCCCAGTGGTGTGGGTGTGACCTGGGGCCACGCTCCGGCCGTTCAGGGCTCCGTGTGTTCTCTCCAGGCCACGGTCAACGCTCGCCCCCAGCGCATCCTGGACACCTCCTCGCTCACCCAGTCGGCCCCCGCCAGCCCCACCAACAAGGGGATGCACATCCACCAAGTGGGGTAAGTCCAGCCCCTTCTGCCAGGGGGACCAGTGCTCCCTGCCCAGCCCCATCCCGGGTAACCCCGCTGGGTGTGCAGCGAAGCCTAAATCCTTTCCCTCTTTTTGTGACCTTTTAGAGGGTCCCCCCCAACCACGAGCACGAGCAGCTCCAGCCTGACCAACGATGTGACCAAGCAGCCCGTGAGCCGGGACATGGCGTCCGTGCGACCTGCCAACGTGGGCAACATGGGGGTCCAGTACACCCCCCACTCCCACCAGTTCCCCAGGACGAGGAAAATGTTCGACAAAGGGCCAGAACAGGTAAGGAGCCTTCCCTGTCAGGTCTGACTGCTTCCCCCTGCTGGGGTTTGTCACACATTCTGTTCGTTGGGGTTTGATTTCAATGTCTATCCCTCATTTGCTTCCAGCTGCTGCTAATCCAGATTGGCTTCCTCTAACCAACCAAATAAAAATTGATTAATTTTTTTTCTTCAGGATAAATTGTGTTTTATAGCTTTTGATGGGGCATTATTCACTTCTGCCACTAAGAAATGTGTTTAATCAGAGTCGATTGCTTATTCTTCCGTGAACATTTGTCTGTCTGAGTGATAACCCAGAGTCAGATCCATGACCCTCAGAGGCTGCTCTCCAGCCTCAGCAGAGCAGAGACGGGGAAAATTGTCCTGTGTGATCCCAGGAAGGAAGTGTTGCAGCCTCAGCAGGAACACCTTCCCTTCTCAGGGGTTTGGCAGCACCAGCCTGGCTCGTATTTATGAAAAAATGGCTGAAACCTGAGCGAATGGAGCTTTTCTCTGTCCTGTTTGAGTGCCCCGTGCTGTGTGACAGACTCTGCTCCGTGTGCGCCCTGGGCGTGCAGCTGTGTCTGCTGGGCTGGATCCTGAGTCATCCTCACTGCTCCAGCTGCTTGGGACACTGTGAGAAAACTCCTGCTGGGCCCTCACTGTGGTGACCCGGGGGTGACACAGCCCCAGTCCCTGCAGCAGCCTGGTGTCCGTGCACCTTCCCGAGGGGGGACTGTGAGGAGCGATCCCGGAGCCGGGTGCGCAGAGTTCCGTGTCCTGGGCAATGTGCTCGAGGGTTTTGCTGCCCGGCTGAGGGCAGTGTGGGTGTCCCTGTGCCCGCAGCTGCCCTGGGGGTGGTGACACCCTGCTCTCTCCTGGCAGACGGCCGACGATGCCGATGACGCCGTCGGGCACAAGAGTTTCATCTCGGCCTCGGTGCAGACGGGCTTCTGCGACTGGAGCGCCAAGTACTTTGCTCAGCCCGTGATGAAGGTAACCCTGATCCCCTGGGGGGGCTCTCCCAGCCCCCCAGCACTGCTGGGCTCCTGCCTGCCCTGCTCTTCCTCCAGTCTGGGGAGGGAAAGGGGTGGATTTATCTACGTCGTGCTGCTCTGGGAGCTGTGGGACCACTGTGCTTGTAAATAAGAGGGAAGAAGAAATAAGAGGGAGCAGAAGAGTGAGACTGGGGCAGTGGGGTATGACCAGGGACAGAGCCCAGAGGAAAAGCCCTGCACCCCATGGGAGCATGATCAGCAAAGAATGTAAAAGTGAGGAGGGGTTCTGTGGTCCAGATCCACCAGTTTTACCTGGTTGCATTGCAGAGTTGTTTTATTTGAAATATTGTGCTTCTCTATATACTGAAAATTGCATTATAGTTAAAATTAATAGATTTTTTTAATATAAATAAATGGAGTAAGGAAAGTCCTTTTTTCCAGAAAGGGCTGTGAGAGGCTGGAGAAGGAGAGATGCTGTTTTCTTTCTGACATTCCAGCTGAATTTCCTGGCTCTGGGGATGCTAAAAGAGGCAGAGAAATGGTAGAGAGAGGCTGCTGCCCTGGGGGGAGGTCAGAGCATCCCAGTGACAGCAGGAACCTGTGGCTTCACTCTGTCCTCGAGCAGGATTTCAGAGCTGTGCTCTGATCCCAGGCACCCAGGACAGACACCTTTAACTTAAAGAGCAGAAAGTGAGTGTGGCTGAGCATCCACAGGAATTCCTGGAGGAAACTTAGGGAGCCTCACTGCTGGGTTTTAAAGTTTATAAAAATAAAAGCAGTTGTGTTATGGCAAAGAATAAGGATGGTAATGACAAATCTGCACCCAGATCTTTTGGGGAGTGAGCTCTTTGTGTAACTTAGTTGTCTTTGCACGAAGTGAACGATAAACTGAAGCCTTGTTCTAGGAAAAACCCAAACCTGGGCTCTTGAGAGATGGGCAAAGATCATCAGTGACTGGAAGGAGAAGCTGTTAATTCCCAGAATGTTTTAGCTGTTAAATTCCCAGAATGTTTTAGCCAAAGCTCAGGTTTCAGGTTTAAGTGTGAAATAAGCAGCAGATCTCCCTCATTAAAGCAAACCTCCAGGTGCTCTGGGAGTCGTCAGGGAACCCAAACTGTGTCAGGGCTTTCAGCTCCATTTCTTGGAGGGGTTACTGTGTCTGGGAAGGACAACACCCAGCTGCATTAATGCCACTTCCACAACGGATATTTGTATCCAACCACTGATATTTAAATCTTAATAATGAGGAAATTGTGCATTTTAAGTACTGTCTCATCCAGGAGTTGCCGCCGAGTCATCCATCCCCACTCTTCAGGCACACTGAAGTGTTTGGGGGGGGGTAACTGCTCAAGTTCAGGATATCAGAACAGTAGTTACATGGCAGGTTCTTGATTTCCATAGGGAATCACCAGGAGGAAGCAGTAGCTGGTGAAGTGATTGCCTGACACTTCCTCAGCTGCTGTGAAATTCCCTTTCTCCCGATCTCACGAGCAGAATAATTCATTAGGACACATCTGGCCTGTGGGGCTGGGCTGCCTGGTCAGCTTTAGCCAGGGCTTTCTCTCATCAAGATGAGTTTTGGTGTCTTGATTCAAGTCCAGACAAGAGCACAGGAGGAGGGAGATGATGTTTGAGCTCTTTGTTCTTATTGAAAACATTTGTCTGCTTTTTAAGGAAAGCTCTTCCCAGAGAAGAAGGGTCTTTATTAATAAAATAAATCACAGTAGGCAGCCAGGCACGGGCAGGGACAGTGGGTGCATGGGGAGCTCTGGGGGGGGTGAGTTTACTGCTATTTCATGTCCATAAAATAGACAAAATTACTTTAGGAGAAGCAGTAAAAAGTATGGAGCATTCCTGTACTAATTCATAGGAGCCAGGGAGGGGGAGTCATGGAAATCAAGGGTTTCCTGGAGTGCTCTGTGTCTCCCAGGGGATTGGAGGTGCTGCAGCTGCACCCTGAGCATCCCACAAGTGCCAGTGAGCAAAACCAAATCTGTATGTCCTAATAAAACGAGGAAGAGAATTATTTCCCTGTTACTTTTGCAAAGCATCTTTAAAAGGCCAAGGAGATGGTTTCTGCAGGAAAACTGGAGTGTTATCCCATCCTAACAGGGAATTATACAAACTTTGGAGTTAAGAGTGGCTGGTGTGTGTGCAAGGGACAGGAAGAAATCCCCTTAGGAGAACTTTCTCTGAGGTTTCTTGGTTGGAAGCCAAGCAGGGCTGACAGCTCGGGTGCTACCTGAGTTTCCATGGAGTCTCTGTTCCTTCAGTCCCCGTTCCTGCAGCGACAGGAACAGCCCTGGTGCTGTCTTTTGGGAGCTTCAGCCTCATGAAAAAGGCAAAGAGTAAAGTCTACCAAGTACTGATGGAAAAAGATGACATTGATGCTTAATTCCAACCGTTCGTTTGGAGCTGCTGCCTGCCTTCTTAAACAGGGAAAGACAAGACAACTGTTCCTGTAATGAATAAACATAAAATGACTGTGAGTGCATCTTAGTCATATTTAATTTATGAATTTAGTTTTGCTTCATAGACCTTGCCCTGAGAATGCTTTCACTGGAACGATTGAGGGATTAATTTCCAGTGTAAATCACGGGCTCCGTTTCAAACCATCATCCCGGTTTTGATTTATCGATTATCTAATCAAATAAACGGGGAAAGAAAACACTGTGCTGCAAATTGTCCGTGTGCCAGGAAGAGCAGATCCCTGTACCCCAGCTCTGATCTCTGCAAAAGCCTTTCCTCTCCCTGACATCCCTCGTGGCACGAGGCTGTTCTGGGAACCACGGGCGGCCTTGGCGCGCGCGGCGCAGGAAAGCCTGGCTGCCAGCTGTCAGGAAGTCCTGAGGCAAGGAGCGAGGGAGCCGGCATCTGTTGTTTCCAGGACTGGCAGAACATGCAGGCAGGAGCTGGGAAGGATCCTGGAAGGTGAGAATTACATAAGAAACCCTTCCTGATAAATGCCTGCCTGAGCTGCAGCGCTGTGCCTTGGCCGCCGTTCAGAGCCCTGGGAGAGGAGTGAGCTCCCTGCAACTGCTGCAGGAATGTTACCCAGGGAAAACTGGATCTACCACTGGAGCCGGGTGCCAAATCCTCCCTGCTGCCCTCCTGGCACCCACTGCCATGGCATGAGGGAGAGATATGGTGTTAGAGAAGGAAAACTTGGCTGACTTTCAAAGGCCCTGCAAGGTGGGAGGGTTCAGGTGTCGCTGGTTTGTGCCCGGGGGAAGCTGGCAGGGTGATCCCACAGCCCAGCCCTGCTGGTGGGTGGGCACGGGGGGCCAGGATGCTGTTTTCCTGTGTGCTCTGACTCACTGCAGTGGTGGTCCAAGGGCTCTTCCTTGGCCTTTTAGGGCTTACTTTAATTTATTCCCAGAGAAGCTGGATTTTCATTAAGGTGTAGGTGTCATCTCTCCACTCTCAAATTCCTTTGATGTATTTTAGCTCAGGTTTGTTTATTGCTTTACATTATGGTCGTTTGTCATTTCCTTTCTAATAGGTGTTGTACTGAAATAGAAGTGCCTTTTATTTTTTTTTACCAAGAGGAAAGGTGGAGGGTGGGCTTGTTATTTTTTATTTGTTTTAAAGAAGCAGAAATTCAGCTCTGATAGTGTTTTCCAAAGTATAGTGTGTTTTGAAGGCACTATAAGAGTGACAGATGATTTAAGTACTTTCTTATCCAGGGAAAAACTGTGTTTATGAGGCACAGGGAAGGAGTGGAAGGACTTTGTCTCCCTGCTCCAACAGTTACTCCTTTGGAACAGCCAGCATCAAAAGAAGCTGGATCAGAGTCCTGTAGCTCAGCCCCTTCACTGATCCAGGAATGGCTCCAGAGCAGGGGGGTTACTGGTCTTGGACAATGTTCTAAGCATTAAAAATGCTACACCTCTTATGTAGCTCCTGCCATGTTTGGGGATGAGATCACATGGCTTACTCCTTTTGATCCTGTGCTCTGACTAAGGGGGGGGATACCCGAGGTGGGAGCAGCACTGGGACCTCTCCCATCCTGGGCAGGAGCTGCCCAATCCTGACCTGGCCTTCTGCCTGGAGCACAGGTTTTGCAGGGAAGCCATGGAGTGCCAAAACCTGGAGCTGTGGAGTGTGAATAAATATCATCAAATAGCTCAGAATGGCTGTGGCTGCTCCACAGTTTCTGGGGGAGTTTTGTGTGTAATCAAACCCAGGTGACACGGGGGGATCACGTTCCAGTGTGAGGAACCGAAACAGGCTGTTACTGGTAAATGGTGGTGGGACCCTGAGCATCCCGGGGATTTGGGAATGAGCTGTGACCTTCTAGGCCTTCAGTCCTTGACTAGCAGGAGAAGAAGGATTTCAGTGGGTTCTGAGCTGGCTGGAGCAGAGCTGTGTTCCCCCTTTGGTCTCAGGGTTGCTACGAGATGCTTTTCAGCTGAGGAGTGTTAAACAGAGAAATCTGGATTGTACTGAGGTCAGACCTCTGTGTTTGGAGGGGACGGGAGTCACAGGGACTGTGGGATCAGTCAGCTAATTCCTGGAGTTGTGATGGTCATTGTTGGTTTGTTTTGTGTATTTATTGCTCTCCTGAAAGATCCCCGAAGAGCACGACCTGGAGAGCCAGATCCGCAAGGAGAGGGAGTGGCGGTTCCTGCGCAACGCCCGGGTCAGGAAGCAGGCCCAGAAGATCATCCAGAAGGGTGAGTGGTTTGTTTCCCTTGTTCAGGACACTGAACTGTAAAACCCCAATTAGTGATGACCCCAATTAGCGGTGATCCTGTGCTGACCCTCACCCATTCCCTCCTGGTGCAGGTGAGGTGACGCTGCTGCAGGTGTGTCACTGATGGTCGCCCCCCTTTCTGTTCTCAGCTGCTGGGTTTGTTCACCACAGCAGGGAAGTGACCCCCTGAAGTGCCCATTGTCTGCCCTGCCCACTGAACACACGGCTCCATCTCAGCCAGGGCAGCTCCAGGCTGGCTGACCTGTGTGGGAGCCCCAGAGCAGGGACTCCCCCAGGGAGAAGGTGGAATGCTGGCGGATAAACTTTACAGCTGCAGAGCTCAGTGTTTGATGTGGGACAGACATGGCCATGGCAGAGCAGCCCTGGAGCTGCTGGACATGCCCCACCATGCCCAGGAAAGACCTCAGCGATGTCTCTCACGTTCTCTGCTCTGCTGAGCTCTGTAAATGATCATTTACTCCTTATATCCCATTATATTTTGAGTATTTGTGTGTATGGCTTTGTGTGTGCTGCTTCCAATGTGCCTCAGGTTCGTGTGAGCTCTCCAGAAACCTGTGTTTATTTAGGGCTCTCCGAGGCAGCTTCTGGGCTGGAATTCTCTTAGCACAGGAATTTATTTGAATAAAGTGGAACCTAATGAAAGTTTCAGAGGAATTTGCATCCCTGAATTATCCCTGCTTCTTGTGTGCCCTGAGCAGCAGAGGCTGGGGAGCTGCATTTACAGGAGCTCCTGGCATCTTTCCAGTGGCATTCCCGGGGCAGGACCGTGTGGTGGAGGCTGGTCCTCCCTGGGGATGCTCGTGGAGGCACATGGAGCTGGAAATCCTAATGTGCTGAATGGAAAAGTGCCCAGGGCTCAGCCTCGTCGTCGGGAGGTTCCTGAGCTCCCTTCAGTGCCATGTGGAGCTTCCTGTCAGGAAACTGCAGAATATCATCAACCAGAGAAACAGGAATGAACCTGGAGCCCAGGAGATGGCCTGGGAGATCTGTTTGAATACAAAGAAGGGGATTTTTCATGCTTGCCTGGAGAAATTAAATCTCTTTCTAGACAGTGTTCATATTTGGTTGCTTGACCTGAGTGACTAAAATGCCACTATTCATTAAAAAAATAATGAAAATGTGAAATATTAAAAAGAATTAAAATAGACTTACAAGCTTTTAATGAAAATTAGATTAAATGGATGCATTCTAAAACAAACTTGAGCTGAATAGATGTCTCCTGGGCTTAGGGGTTTGTGTGATGAATTCGTAGTGTGCCAAAAAATAGCAGTGTCAGGGGTCCCAACACTGTTTGTGAATAGGAAACTGCTCTGAAGACAAGATGGGAAAAGTCTTTACCCATCGTTTTAAGGTCTCCGTGGAAAATACATTTTTCATTTGCAAATTAACCTAAAATATAAAAGAAATTAAATGGAAGCTTAAATAAATAATCCACAAGCTACAGTGAAATGCTGTATTTTAAGTTGAAAAAAAGCATTTTCATTTTTTATATTTTGAAGAAATAGTGTTGGGTTTTCTCTCGATACAAACTGGTGTTTCCCTGGCCTTGGCTGTGCTTGTTCTCTTTGGTTGCCAACGTAAAGGACCCCCTGATTTGTCACCACAGTTTTTAGTTTGTGCCTTAAGTTGTGACACAGTTGGTGTGGGGGAGTCGGGGCTGTCGGTGATGGGGGTCTGGGAAGCTCCTTGAAGGAGGGGAGTGCTGGGGGTCTGCTGGTGAGAATGGGGGGCAGGAGGAGGGGGGGAGTGGGACACCTGGCTCTGGGAAGCCGGGGTGGTCCAAGCTCCCTCCCTCAGGTGGGACAGGCTCCCAGGGCTGAGCTGTGCTGCCTCCTGTCCCTGGGCCATTCCCAGGGCTGAGCTGTGCTGCCTCCTGTCCCTGGGCCATTCCCAGGGCTGAGCTGTGCTCCTGTCCCCGCAGGGATTTCCCGGCTGGATGATCAGATCTTCCTCAACAGGAACCCCGGCGTCCCCTCGGTGGTGAAGTTCCACCCCTTCACGCCCTGCATCGCCGTGGCCGACAAGGACAGCATCTGGTGAGGGGATGGGGGGCTCAGGGGGCTCTGCAGGGCACCTGGGGGTCACCACAGGTGCCACAAATATTCCTCCTTTTCCCTGCCCCTTTCCCCCATGGCCATCCCTCCCTCTCAGGGCAGGGACGCAGGGTAGAACCTCCCAGAGCTCAGGCCCCGAGTCCTCCTGTCCCCGAGTCCTCCTGTCCCTGAGCTGCTGAGCTGGGGCTGCAGAAGGATCCTGGCAAGGTTACAGCACTTAGGGCTGGGACTCTACCCTGTGTCCTTCACAGAAGGTTGAGGTGTTTAAATTCTTCTCTGGGAGGATGGGGAGGCCCTGGCACAGGTTGCCCAGAGAAGCTGTGGCTGCCCCTGGATCCCTGGAAGTGTCCAAGGCCAGGTTGGACAGGGCTTGGAGCAACCTGGGCTAGTGGGAGGTGTCCCTGCCCATGGCAGGGGGTGGGACTGGATGAGCTTTAAGGTCCCTCCCAACCCAAACCATTTCATGATTCTATGATACATTATTAGTAAAATGATGCCAAACTCCAAAGGAGAAATCCAAATTGAGCTGGTATCCATGAGATATAATTGGATAATGTGTACATCTCTTTATAGCTTACAAAGAGAACTGAGAACTGACTTGCTGTCTTGCTATATTTCTCTCCCACAGTTTTTGGGACTGGGAGAAAGGGGAGAAGCTGGACTATTTCCACAATGGGAACCCTCGGTACACCCGGATCACAGCGATGGAGTACCTGAATGGACAGGACTGCTCCTTGCTGCTGACTGCCACAGGTAGAGAACACATTTTCCCACGTATGAGGGCAGGACTGGGTTTGCAGAATTTGCAGAATTCCAGTCTGGGTGAGCTGTTCTGGATTTGTCCCAGCCTGACCCTTCCCTCCCCTGCACTCACCTGCCTGCTCTCAGCTGAGGAGGCCATTTCCAGGATCAAATCTGAAGGTTGTTTCTGGCAGTCCTGAAATCTCTTAACTAGGTGCTGGAAAGATTTTCAAAGGACTGACAAGTCAAACATTTGAAGTGTTCCATTCCCAGTCCCAGCTTTGTTCGTTACCTCATTCTGAATCTTTACCTATCATTGCAAGGGCAGGGTCACCTCCCCCTGTAGAACACCTGGGCAAAGGGGATTTTAGTTCATTAAAGCTGTTGTCCTGAGCTGAAATCGTGCAGCAGCCAAAATTTAAGAACTCAAATTCTGTTCCTTGTGCTGTTTTCAGTGTAGAGCAGGTGAGGCTCAGCTTAAGCACTGAACTTTTCAGGTAGTTCTGAGTTCCTCTCTAGGCCATCTCTCACCTCAGTAATTCTCCAGAAGACCCCGTTGCATCATGTGGGATTGTATGAAGAGCTCTGCCCCATTCTTTGCTCTGTAAAGCTGTGAGTCAGAGCAGCTCCTCTCCCAAGGAACCATTCCAAACCTGTCAGTAGGAGTGTTTTCAACAGCTTCTCCAACTTCCCACTGAACTGTGCAGGTTGGGTGTAATTAAGGGAGCTGGAAGAGGAGCTGAGAGGGCCTTTAGGACGTTTTCCTTTCAATTTATTGATTCTTAGCACAAAAGTTTCACAGATGGGGAGAAAATTGAAAAAATACACAATGTTCTTGAAAGATTTGCTGCTGATGGGCTGGGCTTTGGTTCAGCTGCTTCTGTGGGGCTGTTTTGTGTTGAGTGGGTACTTATGTAGCTCTCGGCACCAATAGCGAGGAGGACAGAGATGAATCCTGGAGAAAATGAATGATTGAGGGAAATGGAGAAACATGTAATGTCAGGTGTTATTCAAGGGAAGGAGAAAAGCTCTTCCAGAACAGTTCCAGTAGAACAAAGCTTTAGGTTTCACAGATGTGTGATTAGAGAGGAAAAACAACTCTAACAAAAATAATTAAGTTCAAGTGACACTCTTGAGTTTTGGAGTCTGTGCGACTGCGGTTTTGCTTCTCTTCTTCCTCATGCACAAGGAACTGTGAGAGCTGCATCAGCAGTGACATTGCTTTGTGTTCTCTCCCCCTGTGCTCCCCAAGACGATGGTGCCATCAGAGTGTGGAAGAACTTTGCAGACCTGGAGAAGAACCCAGAGATGGTGACGGCCTGGCAGGGGCTGTCGGACATGCTGCCAACCACACGAGGTGGGTCCCCACAGAGTCCTCTTGGGGGGAAGGCAAAAACCAGCCTTTGTACAGCTTTGCACGTTGCACCTGTGATCTCCTTCAGCCCGAGCTCCAACTTTGGCACTTGTTCTTCGCTGTTTATTGTGGGTCAGGAGGTGGCAAAGGAACGTGCAGTCTAAATCTGGGATGTGCAGAAGGGCAGCACAGTGAGACATTGGCCTGCTTGGAATGGTATAAAAGTTGGGTAGAAAAGGGTGTAAAAAGGAATACTGGCGTCCAGCCACATGTAGGATGAAGGCAGAAAATCAGTAACCCTGAAGTCAGTTTTAGGGCGTTACAGGAGGTTTTAGGGCATTACAGGAGGTTTTAGGGCATTACAGGAGGTGGACATTCCGTCCATCCGAGACCTTGTCATGTACTGATGCTCTAATGGCAATTCTCTGTCACTTGAATATTTTTAATCAAGGCTTCAGGTTTTCCTGTGTGTGCTGTAGTTCAATCAGCACTTTGTGGGATTGATGGAGGAACTGCTGGATGAGGCTCCCTGGCCTGTGCTATGCGGGAGGTCAGACGAGATGACCATCATCATTCATCCTGACCTTAAAAGCTGACAATTCTCATTTCTGAGCTGATGTGGTTCATCCCAGGAGCCTGACACAGCTCTTTTAGCTATTCATTGGATTTTCCTGGTGCTGCCTGGGTGAGCTCCTGTCTGTTATGTTTCCCTTAACTCCTCACAGTTTGTGTCAGGGAAGAGGAGCTGTGTTTGAGGTGAGTCCAGGCTCTGCCTCGCTGAGGGATGTGCTCAGAACTGATTAGGAGCTGCTGAAAGTTCAGAGCCCGCTGTGCAAATCGCCGTGGTCCCAACCTGCCCTTTAGAGGTGTCAGCAAGAGCAGGAGGGACACAGTGGGGCTGCACTGGGAGGGAAAGGCCTGGCTCTGCTTGGGCAGAACAGGTCCAAGATCCATCACGAGATGCCCTTTGTAGTGTCACTCTGTATTTGTTTGCCAACACCAGCTTTCCTGCACGTTGGTTAACGTTTCCCATCCCTGGATTCAGGATTTTGCATCTTGGTGCTGGGAATTCCCCCGGACTGCCCTGACTGTCAGCTCTCATGGTGTTCAGGGAGGGTGGTGACAGCTGCCCACTGAGCTCCCTCAGCCCCATCCCATTTTCCTGCCTTCTTTTCCACGTGCACTTTGCATGATTGTCCCTCACCCTGCCCAGGGTTCACCCCCTGGAAGGATTGTCACTGTTGGTGTCTGATGCTGCAGAACAGGCTCAGAGCTGAGTGAGCTGGAGAGTTGGGTAGTTGCATTTGCCAGAACAGGAGGGGTTTTGCCTGTTTCTTTCCCTTATGGATTGAAGCAGTCTGGGGCTTGTTTTCTTTGCCTTCCACCTTCGCAGCGGGTTTGGCAGAAGAGAAGGACAGATCCCTTTGTGGAGAGAGAAATAAATGTACCACTTCAAAAGAACTATGTGGAGCAAGTCCCCGTGGAAATGAGACTCTTCACAGTCATCTGGTGCCAAGACCATAGTTGTGGTCCAGCACTGGCTCATAAAACTGAAGATGCATCTTTGAAGCTGCAGAGCTCAGGAGTTTTACAGGAATTTGTTTGCTCCCACTATTGATTTCCTTCCCTCCTCTCCCAGCATTTCCCCTGTGTCATAATGCCACACTCATCTCTGACTTGCTCTTGAGAACAACCAGAACATGACTTTCCTGGGCCATTTTCCCACTTCCAGAAGGCAAGAGGAATATGCCTCTGTTGAGCAGCGTAGGAGGAACATAGACCTGATGTACTCTGGAGCTGTGCTTTCTCAGCAGGAGACTTTGGGAATTCTGGCAGTTTCTCTAGAAAAGAGTGTTTGCAGGCTGGGGAGCAACACAGGGACCTGTGGCCTGGTGTGAGTATGTTCTCATACAGCAACCTGAACAGATCTACCACATCTGTGGAGGGTCTCTGTGACAAAGGGAACAAGCCACAGCTCCACAGTCAGAAAGGCCTTGTCCTTGAAAACAGCACAGTTCTGGAATTTGGAAAAATGCAGAAGTGGGGCCAACTGGTTCATAGTCATCAACCGTTCCTTGTGTGCTCCCTGCAGATCCCTGTGGTGTTTTCCCTCTCCAACCAGCAAAGGGAACCAGGATATCACTTCTGAAGGACTTGGCCTGGTCCCTTCCTGAGCACCTGGAGCTCCCTGTGCAGGAGAGGGTGGTGGGGCCCTGGCACAGGTTGCCCAGAGAAACTGTGGCTGCCCCATCCCTGGAAGTGTCCAAGGCCAGGTTGGACAGGGCTTGGAGCAACCTAGACTAGTGGAAGGTGTCCTTCCCAATGGCAGGAGTGGAACTGGATGGCCTTTAAGGTGTTCCTTCTAACCCAAACCATTGTGAGATTCTATTTCAGGACTCTGTGATTCTCCAGGGTGGCCCCACGGTGCCTCACCCCCCGTTTGCTGCTCTGCTCTCATTGCCTGGGGGTTTCATGGCTAAAACCAGTCTGTGTCTGGGGGTCACTTCCCATTTAGGAGCTCTTCAAACAGAGCACCCATGAGTTGTTGCACTCTCGGGGTGCTGGTTACCTGCCTGCCCTCCCAGGTGTGGGCAGAGGAGCCCCGACCTCCCCCAGCAGCAGCCCCGTGCTCTGTGCTCGGATCCGTCTGTCACTTCCCAACCTACTTGAGAACTGGGAGCAGCTGAGGCAGGGGATGGTCTCCTTGTTCCAGCAGAAATGTCAGCTCTGTGCTGCTGCCAGGCAGCCCGAACCCTCACTCCACACGACAGGCTGGTGGCTTCCTGGGAATGCTGTGCTGGAACGAGTGCCCGCGCTCGGATGGTGGCATGTGCTGCTCTGGGTGCTGCTGCTTCTCTTTTGGGATCTTTAACTTGAATTGCTTTTTCTAATGCTTTTTTAAGATTATTTTCACTCTGGCTGACCGACTCACCCTGAGCACCAACCCCTCATCCCTGTCTCCTCACAGGTCTGGCCCGAAGGGTTTCAATCTATCTTGACAGAAGTAAGCAGGGAGGTGAGTGCTGCTTTCCTGTTCTTGTGCTCAGGTGGGTGGGAGGAGCTCCTTGGCCACCCTTGGGGTGGTTGGTTGGGTTTTTGGTGTGGTTTGAATGACTGCTGGGTCCCTGTGGTTCCTGGGAAGCTTTGCTTCCACCTCTCCCATCCCTTGACTTGTGTCTGTGTCCGTGACAGCCACGAGGAATGCAGGGAACTCCCTGGGCAGGCACAGCCACTGCTGGGAGAAGGGAGTCTTCATGTCAGACTCCCTGAGCTCCCTGCAGCCAGAGGAGGTGTGGGTGAGATGTTCAAGTGTCTCTTTTCCAGGAAGGTATCAAAGCATCCCTGGACTAAAGGGTTTGAGTGACAGGTTCCAAAGGGGAACCACCATAAAGCTACTGTGGGTTTATTTATAACACACTTTAACTGTAAAGATGATGGGAAGAGGAAATGCTGATGGATCTTTCCCAGGAGCCTCAGAGTATGGGACTTTTGACAAGGATATGCCAAAAAGGAAAGAGGGGAAATTTAGGTTAGATCTGTGGAAGGAATTGTTGGCTGTGAGGGTGGGGAGGCCCTGGCACAGGTTGCCCAGAGAAGCTGTGGTTACCCCAACCCTGGAAGTGTCCAAGGCCAGGTTGGACAGGGCTTGGAGCAACTTGGGCTAGTGGAAGGCTGTGCAGGGTCTCTGAGACTCTGGATCCTGACCCCTCTTCTCCCACAGCTGCCAAGGGCTTGGGGGGAGCAGATGGTGATGTGTCAGGGTATCCTGGGGGCGTGCGTGGCCAAGTGTCCCTGGCTGTTCATGGTGACATCGTCACTTCAGGATGTTCATCAATTATTAATATTTGCTGACTGATAAGAGCTGGCTGTGTCTGCACTGATTAATCACCGAGGCTCTGGTGGCAGGGGGTGATTCAGAGCTCATTAGCTCCACTTTAGCACATCTCTCTGGCGGGGCAGGAGTTAGTGGAGCTGCTGTGTTGCTGTGAGTGCCTTGCCCTGCACTTCACTCCCAAATCCACCAGCAAAGGCTAAAATTAGCACGGCTTGGCTGCAGGGAATTCCCCGCTCGGTGAGCCGGGCATGCAGGAGGTGGAGGGGATTCCGGCCACTCCGGTTGGATCGATCCCAGTGACGCCACCCGACCACAGTCCCGGCACACGGATCGATCCAAGCCTTCTCCAGCATCTTCAGTCCTCCTGGGGACAAATGCAGCACAAGGATTCCTCCCATCCCACTGAAGAACTCTTAAATATGTATGGAAACAGCTCTTTGCCTGACAGCAAAATACTTCAGCAATAGTTAGATGTTGCCCCATCCCTGGAAGTGTCCCAGGACAGGCCGGACAGGGCTTGGATCAACTTGCTCTAGTGGAAGGTGTCCCTGGCCATGACAGGGCGTGGAATGAGATGAGCTTTAAGGTCCCTTCCAACCTAAACCATTCCATGATTTTATGATAAAATATCCTGGGTTTGTCATTATAATACAGAAGATCTGTTCTCATCACTGAGGCTTCCATGAGGAATTTTTACCAGAAGGAAGACTGGGAACGGTCTCTTCATTCTGGTATCACTGGGGATAAATTAAAGAAACACCAGTGGCTTACTGGGCCAGGTCCTGTCAGGCCACTGGGCAGGTCATTCCGGGAATCCCTGGAGTTGGTGTGAGCACGGAGCGAAGTCTGAGCTGGGACATTCAGCTGGGAAGGCAGCTGAGCTGGCAGGAGTCAGGGGGTGCTGGTGTCTTGCCCTTCAGGAGTAAGAAGTTTGGGAAAAGCACTGTGTTCCTGGTCAGATTATTTTATGGCAATAAGATCACTGGAGGAATTGCAGCTCCAGGGGTTTGTGTTCTTTTAATTGGATTCCCAGCATCCCAGCTCCTGCTGTCCCTCGCTGTGCAGTCCTTGGCAGGAGGAGAGTGACACTTTTTGAGAGGATGTTGTAGAAATTAATGATGAGTGAGGTCATCCAACCCTCCCACTGCTTCCTGGAAATTAAAGCAGGGATGTGCTTTACTGCTCAACCAGGAGGGCCCGTGATTAAAAAATGATCAGTCAGAATCCAAGATGCTTTTATACTGTGTTCCATGTGGATATTCCCGATCCCACTGAAATGCCAAGGACAGGCTGGCCACGTTCCAGTGACGTTACAGATGAACGCAGACGCTGGGAATGCAGCTGCTTTCACCCGGGTTAGTTATGGAAATTTATACAGGGAACTGCCCCATCCAGACCAATTGCTCAGAGGGAATCCTGAGGGAACAGCTATGGGAAGTCACACTTTCAGGAAGGGCTGTTGGTGTGTGTAAACTGACGTCATACGGAGCTGCAAGTGCTGGTGTTAAAAGACTCAAAAACAAACAAAAACCAAACCTAAAACCAACAACTCACCACGGACCTTTAAAAATGGCTTTTCCTGAACTGTGGAATATTTGTTGCTCATTATCTAAGGACATAATACTCCTTAGGGGAAAACAGTGATCCTCACTCCTGATGCATTGCAGCAGTGCAGGGCTGGGACGCCACTTCGGGCAGTTCTTGCGTTCTGGGAGCACCAGGGTTCCACCCCTGGCCTGTGTCAGGCCGTGTCACAGCCTTGTCCCCGTTACTCCGATTCTGTGAGGAGGTGGGAGTGTGGAATTAGGGCGGGAGGTGAGGCAGAGCCCGGCTGTGGGGTTGCACAGGTGCGCAGAGCATCACCTTCCTGCCAGGAGGAGGCTGAGGAGCAGCTCAGGTGCCAAAGCCGTGAGCCAGAACGCGGCGGGTGAGCTGCAGGCTCGGTTGTAACATCCTGGAGAAGGACCTCTGTTAATTAAAAAGGAAATGATCGTTAGTATTAAGTCCCACGTTTGCTTCTCATCCCAAAATACTATGAATTTAGCATGGAAACATGAGCCAATCCTGGATCATTTCTACCAGGAGAACGTTTGCTCGTATATGGAAATAGTTCAGCTATTTCTGTCTCGTTCCACGCTGTCAGTGTGTGCTTTGGATGGAACATTTCCTTCCCCCTTACCCACTTCCAAATGACTTAAATGTATGTACAAAGGCTTTTCTTCTCTTCAGACAGCTTGGAGTTCTGGTTCAGCATTCCCAGTCACATCCTGGGCTCCCCTTCTTGGTCAGGGCATGGCTGGGGAGCAGTGGGAGCGTCCCCCTGCACGGAACAGCCCCTGGAGCCGCAGCCAGACGGGGCTTGGTGCTGATCAGACAAAAACACCTTGGCTTCAAACGGGGAACCTAACTGGGAAATTGGGAGTTTAAAGCTGCCTCGGAGCACTTTGCCTGCTGAACTCCATCAGGGATGGTAATGGCCAGATCCATCTCAGCTGCCAGGTTTATCTTGTCACATGGGCCATAAACGAGATGACAAATGCAAACACTTCAGTGATGTTTATCATCTCAATCACTGCCTGCTTGTTTGCCTCAGCTCTCCAGCCCTCCGAGCTGCCAGGCAATCTGAAGGAACAACCCATTTGACTAAAGATAAAGATCCAAGCTCCCAGCTCAGCCGAGAGTCCCGAATTTCCTGCGGTGAGGTGACGGGCTGTCAATAAATGTCAGCAATCTCTTCTGTGGATGCAGCAAGATCAGGAATTGGCTGGCTGTGATGCTCAGGAAGGGGAGATGGGAAAATGTTTTATCTGGATCTGTGCAAAACAGGGTCATTCCGTCATCTTTGAGGAAAACTCAGTGTTTATAGGATGTTTCTGTCATTTCCTTTGTGCCCTGTAAAGGTGGTTGTTCTGATACAAGGTACTTGTGGCCCTTTGGTGACAAAGAGCATGTTGGGGTAGGCTTAAATTTCGTGCTGGGGCTGATTCCTGGCAGTAAACACAGAAAAATTCACATTTGTACCTTCTGGACAAGCAAGCCGTGGAGTGGAGACACGAGAATGGTGCTGAAGGCAAGTGGCTCAGGGCAGGAGCTGCAGTCCTGATGCATTGCAGAGGGTTCTGACTCTGGGCTGTGTGTGGTTATGAAACACTACTCGGCACCAGAGGCTTGGTTTGGCACAGAGGAGAGGGTGGACAACTGCTCTGAGAGGCAGGAATGCTGCTCTGCAGGGCAGGGATGCTGCTGTGGGAGCCAGGGCTGCTGCTGCCTCTGCCCTGCCCCAGGGGCTGCAAACAGGCACCAAACCTGGAGCTCTTCTCTGCTTCCCTCCTGTGGTGCTCCTGGGATTTCTTGTTTCTGTTTTTAACAGATGAATGGGAGTCTCCCTGGAAATCCCATAGATTTGGGGTTGCTCAGCCTTTGCAGCATTGAAAGCAAACAATAATGGGTGTGTGGCTCTGCCTTGAACAGGACATTTCTGAGCTGTGGAGGCAGCACACAGGTACAAAGTACCTTCCAGTAAAATGTACAAGAATTGTTCCTTGGAGGTTTTTCCATACCAGAATCAGGGGGTTCATTGCCAGTGTTTCCCAGAAAGGAGGTGACCTACACTCACCCTACTCTGGGAATTCTGTCCCAGCAAGGTTCATGAGCACACACAGTCTGTCTGTAAGCAGGTGTCAGGTGCTTTGAGGATAGAAAATCCCTTGTCATGCTCTTACAAAATGGATGGGATGTTGTTCTGAACTTCACCTGGAGATTGGTCTGTGCCCTCAGAGATGAGGAACAAAAGCTCTTGTAAAGGATTTTAGGTGTTGTCATTGCAGAGTGTTCCCGTCCTTACCAGTCTGTGCAGCAAACTGGTTTGTGCTCCCACCAGCTGTTAAATTCAATATATTGCAGCTGACTGACTTTGCTGTTCCTTATTGAGAAACATTTCCCACATCTTTGTGTTGGAATGAGGAATTGTGGTGATCCAGGGGCTCTCAGATCTTGCTCTGTGAGGTGTCACCAGTTGAGTCTTCAATCACTGTTTAATCTGGAGTTCTCATGAGGTGCTGGATAATTTATTGGCCCCTTGGAAGTCCCCAGCAGTGTCCTGGAAGCTGTGCTCCCCTCCTGCCAGGACTGGCTGCACTCGGCCTCTCTGAGCACTCAGACAAGGGGACAAAGGCATTTTGGGCTCCAATCCAGGAGCAGCTGATTGGATCCCCTTTGGAGGATGTGTGGATGTGTGTGTGTGATTTTAGATTTCCTCTGACAATGACGGTGTCTGACACACGAGGTCAGGAGAGCTGATGCTCTGAATGAGTGCAGCTCTGCCCATGCTGATGTTGATTTGCACCCCTGCCTGTGTTCTGTCCTAGGGGCAGGGATGGTGGTCGACTGGGAACAAGAAACTGGGCTCCTGATGACGTCGGGAGATGTGAGGATAATCCGGATCTGGGACACGGATCGGGAAATGAAAGTACAGGTAACACCTGTGTGTTTGTCCCAGGCACCTTTTCCCTCCTGGAGCACATCCCGTGGGTGAGTTATCCCAGAGCAGCTGAGACTCAGCTGTGAGGAGCTGCCAGGTCCTGGAGCTGCTGCTGTTCTTCCCTGCCCCAGGGTCATGGTCCAAGATCAGTAAAACCACACACACACTCAGGGAGCGTGTCAGGGCTTTCTTGGAAGTTGCTGCTGTTATTGTGGATAGGCAGCAGTGTTTGGGGAGGGTGAGGATCTGGAAGCCAGAGGCAGGCACCAGGATGCAGATTGGGCTTCCTAATTAGCATGTAATTGAAATAGTGTAAATCTTTAAAGGCCCTGGCACAGGTTGCCCAGAGGAGCTGTGGCTGCCCCATCCCTGGAAGTGACCAAGACTAGGTTGGACGGGGCTTGGAGCAACCTGGGATAGGCAGTGGAATGGGATGAGATTTAAGGTCCCTTTAAACCCAAACCATTCCACAATTCTGTGATTTGTGAGGAAATTCAGGGGTGAGTTGGGTTGGTGGTGGAGCATTTGGACGTTCTGCTGCCATCTCTGCTCCTCTGGGACACACACGGAGCTGGTGATGGAGCAGCACTGCTCCAGTGCCTCCCAGCCAAAGGTGTGTGTCCAGGAAAGCTGAGTCCGTGTGGAGAGCACTTCCATACCTGCTCAGTCCACACCTGAGCCAGGACCCAGGGTGTTCACACCTCAAACGAGGCACCACGAGGGCAGTTTCAGTCGCACGTAACTTTCTGTGCCATAGAACAGATAAAAGGCACTGCAAGAGTTCATGTCAGTCGTAACCACAAGGAAGTTTCTCAGAAATTCCAAGGAGGAGCAGCTGGTCGGTGAGAACGGAGGCACCATGCTGGAATAAAAAGGAAGTCGAGTTTTCAAAGCTTCTCGAAATTAATTACCCTTGGATGAACATTAATTGCGACACTTTGACCCCGCGATGCAGGATAATTAAGCCTCTGTTAATCTTAATTACTTTCGCATATTATTTTTTTCTATGTAAATTAGGGAGCAGCAAAATTCAGGAGGCGAAAATCTTTTAAATTATGATGATTAATGATTGCACCGAAAGTGTCTAAAAACATGTTGTTTCTTTTTTTAATTGGAAAGATTGGGTTGTGTTGAAATTCAAGTGATTGGAACTTCCTGACTCAGTAACTGGGAAAGTGAGAATCAGCACAAAGAGCAGGAATAATCCAGGAGGATAAAGGTGCCTTCCCTCTTTGAAGTACAAAACCCCACACCTCTGGAAGCACTTGGGCTGGAGCTGCAGGAACAAGTGCTTCATTTGCACTTCTGCTGAGTGTTGCTGCTTCAAAGGAGGAGCTGGGGGTGGGCTGGGGCTGGAGCAGCCCCAGGGCTGGTGCATCTCCCAGCTCAGCCCAGGCTGGAACAGCAGCTCCAAAGGTGAATCTGCACAGAGGCAAAAATAGGATTGAAGTGTGAAATGAGCTCCTGCAGCTCCAACGGGTCCTGAACAGGTTGCCCAGAGAATCTGTGGCTGCCCCATCCCTGGAAGTGGCCAAGGCCAGGTTGGATGGGGCTTGGAGTAACCTGGGCTGGTGGAAGGTGTCCCTGCCCAGGGCAGGGGGTTGGAATGAGATGAGCTTTAAGGTCCCTTCCCACCTTCCACCCACTTGCTCTCTTTTACTTGCTACAGGCAAAAGGATTGCTCGGAATAATCCCTGTGCCTGTTGGGAGGAAGCACATTTTCAGTTAAAACTAGTAAAAACAGCTGAGCAGCACTGCAAAAGCAGGCTGGGAATCGTGGAATCATGGGATGGTTTGGGTTGGAAAGGACTTTTAAAGGTCACCTCATCCAACCCCCTGCCATGGGCAGGGACACCTTCCACTAGCCGTGGTTTCTCCAATCCCCGTCCAGCCTGGCCCTGGACACTTGCAGGGTTGGGGCAGGACCTTGATGTAGGACCGTGAGGGCAGTGAGTGCAGGGCAGGCCGTGGTCTCAGCGTGGCTGTGGTGTGCTCTCTCCCCAGGACATCCCCACTGGAGCTGACAGCTGTGTCACCAGCCTCTCCTGCGACTCCCACCGCTCGCTCATCGTGGCGGGGCTGGGGGACGGCTCCATCCGCGTGTTCGACAGGAGGATGGCCCTCAGTGAATGGTAATTCCCTCTCCTTCCCAGGCTCCCTGGGATCCTCGTGCTTCCTCCTCCTCCTTGCCCTCCAAACGTGTCTCTCCTTGTTCCCCAGCCGGGTCATGACCTACCGGGAGCACACGGCCTGGGTGGTGAAGGCCTACCTGCAGAAACACCCCGAGGGCAACATCATGAGCGTCAGGTACACGAGATTCTACTCTTTGAGCTGTTTTCCCTTGCACACAGTTTGTTTTCCCCTTTAAATTCTGCCTCTGGTATCCCAAGAGCTGAGAGGGTAAAGCTCTTTAGTTTGACGTTTGCGTCAGTAATTAACTCCTGCTCCAAACTCCGTGGGGAGAAGGCAAAAAGGGATGTGGAGCTTTCCTTGGAAGGCTGTTGGTGTGGCTTGGGAGTAAACAAGAAGCTGGAATCACCATCACGAGGCGTGTGAGGGAGGAAGGGAGCGAGGCAGGAGCTGAAGCTGGATATAGAATATGTGGTGGTGGTGGGTCTTTATTGCCAGTGTCTCCGTGGGGTCATTTGGGAGAGAACACGAGGAGGAAGGTTGATGTTGCATCTGTCAGACATATTGCTGGGCAGGATTACTGTGCTGCCTGGCAATTTTCTACACATAAATCCATTTCTGCCTCCTGGTAAATACTGCAGCGAGAGCAGCATATACTGATTTGGCCATTAAAGAACAGCAGAATATAATTTATTGTCACAAAGCCACTGTTTGCACACAAAGAGCCTCTTTTTCTTGATTACAAAATGGAAACAAAGCGTAGTTTTCTGGGATTCAGAACATTCCTGAGGTGGGGGATGGGCCAGCAAAAATGTATGAAGATTTTCAGAAAGGGGATTATGTGATGCAGCTGCCAGATTTGTCGAGCTCCCATATTAGAGTTTTTAATCTTCCTTTCCCTAAGCTCCTCCAGCAGCTCCAGGGGTCAGCTCTGTGTGCCCCAGGGCTGAGGGCTGGGTGTCCCCTCTCCTCAGGGCCCTTCTCAGCCTGGGCTGCTCTCGGGGCTGGAGGGGTGTGAGGAGCTGTTGTGCTTCAAAAGACAGGTCTGGTCTCCTCCCAGAGCAGCTCAGGTTGTGCACATGAGCCACCTCACTCCCAGTTCCTCCCAGTTCACTCTCTTCTTCTTCCCCATTCCCTCTGCTTCAGCTGACAGCAAGATCCAAGAAAAACAAATGTTAGGACATAGTGAGATCCTGGTGTAACTACTCCCTGAGAAACACAAAGGTGTTATTGCTGGTGGAGCAGTTCTCTGAGTCTCAACAGAACTTTTTCCCTGGCCCAGGAAGGGATTTGGGACACAGGAGTGTAACTCCAGCTGGATCCTGCAGCTCCCCATCCTCCAGCACTGCTTCCCCAGTGATGTTGTGTTCAGTTGTTGCTTCTTGTTGCCTGTTATTGTCCAACTGGGATGTGTTTCCTGTGTCATCCCTCCCCACAGAGCTTCACTTCCATGCTGAACCTCTTCCACAGTCTCCCTATACATTCAGAACCATTTTAAAGTCCTGTAAAGGTCCAAAGCTTTATATGAAGTCACTATATTTGGTCTCTCAAACACTATTTCCATCTAGTCTTTAGGATGTAAATCAAGTTTAATTTCTCTTAAACTTAATTATGTGACAGCTGGAGTTGCAGCTTCTTACAATGCTCTAAGTAATGCTGTGGAACAGCCTTTTGGTCAGCATTAGTTATTCCAGAGGTAGGGAAACTGAAGGCAATATTCTGATTAATGCTTCCATTGTTCTCAGCTCCACTGGGTGATTCACATTTTTGTGGCCATCAGCGATTTGGGAAAAATAACTCTTTAAAGTTGTGGTGCCAGAGGCCTCACAGATGCTGCTGGGAGAACAGGATCAGGTCATCTGGGATTTAAATGCCATGGGAGACTTTTCTGTTTGTCTTTCTGTGCCCCAGCTGACCAGTGTCTTGGCCCCATCCCTGGAAGTGTCCAAGGCCAGGTTGGACAGGGTTTGGAGCAAGCTGGGATAGTGGAAGGTGTCCCTGACTGTGTCAGGGGGTGGGAATGAGATGGGCTTTAAATTCCCTCCCAACCCACCCCATTGCATGATCCCATGATTACGAGGAGCTCAGAACAGATGCACTGAAGCAAAGTCTCCAGTCCTTGGCTCCAGGGCTGTCAGAGGGATATGCCCTCTTGGCATCTCACAGGCAGGATTTTCAGGGTGGATTTCAGAGATCCTTAACAAACAGGAGTCATTTGTGTTTGAAAGGTGCTTCCTCTACAAGCACAGTACCTTGTCACTGCTGCTGCTGGTTCCCCCCCTCTTCCCTGACAAAGCCATCCCTGGGATGACACCTGGCCCGAGCATCCACAGGATCTGTTAGACCTGGTCACCTTTGGCAGCAAGGACTGTTGTGGCCGTGTCCAGACACTTGGAGTAATGGATGGCACCAGCACATCCCATCTGCTCTGAGCTCTCTAATGCAATTTCCTGCTGTGCCAAGCAGCAGGAATTGGGGGCTGACGTGGAGCTGGGTCTATTGGGTGTGACAGGCACGCTGGGGGATGAGCTGTGAGCGATGGAGGCAGTGAGGGATCACTCCTGAGGGCAGAGCAGGGCTGTTTGCTCAGCACTGAACGTGCTGTGGACGGGCCCACATGTGAGTGACACTGGTGGGAACTCGGCCACACTGAGGGGGAAGGCAAGGGCACAGTTCTGCTCTGTCCTCATTTCCCACTGAGGCAGTCAGCTCACAGACAGCCCTGCAGCTCCATGTCCTGGGCTTTGGGATCTGCCTGGGGCACAGCCTGACCTTGAGCAACTCCTGTGTTGGCAGCGTCAACGGGGACGTGCGGTTCTTCGACCCCCGCATGCCCGAGTCCATGAAGGTCCTGCAGATCGTCAAGGGGCTCACGGCCCTCGACATCCACCCCCAGGCCAACCTCTTTGCCTGGTAAGTCCTGGGACCCTGGAGAGGACGACTCGCCCCCACAGACATCATTCCTGGGGCCTTGTGTGTTCCAGAGCTCTCTGCACACTGGTGTGACACACAGCTCTGCCAGGCAGCAATATTGTCCCTAGCCAGCATTCCCAGTGACTCCATGTTCTCTCCATTCCCTTCCAGTGGCTCCATGAATCAGTTCACTGCTATCTACAACGGGAACGGGGAGCTGATCAACAACATCAAATACTACGACGGGTTTATGGGACAGAGAGTCGGAGCCATCAGCTGCCTGGCCTTCCACCCTCACTGGGTCTGTGTCCCCTGCCTGGCTGTGGGGTTGGCATGTCTTAGTGTCCCTGTGGGAGGGCTCACACTTCCAAATTTTGTGTGCTTCTCTATTCCCTGCTTGGGCTCTGCAGAGGAGTCTCACCCCGGGTCTCTGGGGCTGCTCTCCCACTGTTTTACGTAAAGCTGATGCTGTGCAGGAAAATGCACGTCAGGAAAATGGGAGAACTGCAGGAATTGAAGGCATAAGCTGATAAAGGCTGGAATGAATCAGAACAAAAGGAAATTTGGAATATGTCACAGCAGTTAGAGAATCTGGTTGCTGCTCAAGTAGGAGGCAGGTCCCATCTGCGTGGTGGACTTTGCTCACCCGGGGATGAGAAGAAACAAAGGAGATGGAAAACCTGAGAGAACAATGTGAATGGATGGGAAAACAGGAAGGAGTTAAAACAGTTATTTTAGAAACCTGCAGATCAGCACACAAATATTTAATATGTAATAGAAAAGCAGTGGGAAGGATCAAGGGCCTGGAGGAGGGGAGGGAGGAGCTGTGTGACCCTGTGAGGGTTTGGTGTGAGCAGGATGAGGAAGGTGGTTTTCCTGCCTGAGGGATGTGTGTTTGACATCCTGAAGGTAGAGGGCTAAAGGAAGGCTCATCTCAGTTCTGAAAAGCCTCTTTGCAGGAAACCAAGAGCGATTTTGCTGCCCTGCAGTTGGGGATGGAGGAAGAAGTGGGGAAAATCACCTAAAATGGGTTTGCCAAATAAGCAAAGCAAAGCCCTGTCCAGCCCAGGGCTCCCGGCCGGGCCTGTCCCGTCCCTCACTGCAGGAAATGCTCCCTTTCAGCCCAGGCAGCTCCTAACCAGCAGATTTGCAGCCATTTAGAGAAATTATGTTGGCATTTGGCAGCTAATAGTCCCCATAATTTTTCCCTGTGGCTGAAATGGGCCTGTAACTGGCTGGGAGTGTGGGTGCTGCAGGAATGCGTCAGAGCAGACGCACTCAGAGCTGGAGCAGCCGCGTGTCCCTGCTGGAATGTCACTCTTACCTGCCCCTGTCACTACTCCACACCTGGACCTTTGGGGAGGCAGTCACAGAAGGGGAGGCTGAGGGAGCTGGGGGGGCTCAGCCTGGAGAAAAGGAGGCTCAGGGGGGACCTTCTGGCTCTGCAACCCCCTGACAGGAGGAGGAAGTCGGGGGGGGGAGTTGGGCTCTGCTCCCAGGGAACAAGGGACAGGAGGAGAGGGAATGGCCTCAAGGGGATGTTCAGGTTGGACATCAGGAAGAATTTCTTGCTGGAAAGGGTGGTCAGGCCTTGGAAGGGGCTGCCCAGGGAGGTTTGAAGTCCCCATCCCTGGAGGTGTCCCAGGAAGGCCTGGCTGTGGCACTCAGTGCTCTGGGCTGGGGGACAAGGTGGGGATTGGGCACAGGGGGGATCCATGGGCTGGGAGGGCTTTTCCAACCTGACTGCTGCCGTGACCGTGAGTGTGCTCTGCCCACAGCCCCACCTGGCCGTCGGGAGCAATGACTACTACATCTCGGTGTACTCGGTGGAGAAGCGGATCAGATAACGGCGAGCGAGCGGGTCGGGGCAGGGCCTCCTGTACATAGTGAAATCATCGACTTGAATGTTTCGTGTTGGCTGCTGCTGCACCCCATAACTTGAACATTTGTTTTTCTGACTTAGCTACTGATGGGTTTGACAAGGGGAAGAGACAATCTCCTTTTTTTTGTTTTTGTTTTGTTTCGTTTTCCAGCTATATCCTCTAAAAGCTACAGAAAAGGAACATTTATTTTTGTTTCCAGTGGTTGGCTTCTCTGTCAGAAACACAGCTCCTGAGCTTGGAAGGACTTGGATGAGGCAACACCCTTGAGAAGGGTCTTGGTTTAGTCTTTGTTCCTTGTTTTGCTGGAGCGTAGGTTGCTTCAAGGACTAAGTCAGGACTCACCTACAGCTCCATGGGACCCTCCCGCTGCTGCCAACCCTGTGCCAAACAGAATTCCTGGGACAGGGCAGCGAGACCTGAGCTGTCTGTCTGCATGGGATGTACCTGCTCCTGCACTGCTGAGCGGGGCAAGGGAGGCAGGGAAGTGTCTCCTCTGCATGAACCTCCTCCTCCCTCCCTGCAGCGTCCTCTCCACTGGAAGCAAGGACAGAAGGTGACCTGGTGGCCCAGGGAGGCAGGAATCCTGGGGGAAGGTGCTCAAGGAGATGAGAAGAGCAGGGCAGGATGCCCCACACTGTAAGGCTGCACATGAGGAAGAAGAGGGAAGGAAGAGAATGAAGATCTCCAACGTCCCAAGCCTGGAGCAAATCACTTGTGTCACCACATTCCACCCAAGCCCACAGTGCTGGTGGGGAGCCCGGGACACCTTGGCACTGTCCCTCCTGCTGCCACTGTCCTTCTGCCCACAGGGAACTGCACAGACACGTCTGGTCCCCTGGGAGCTCTGCCCGGGCAGCGAGGGGGCCCCGGAGCCAGTCCATGAGCAGGTGGTCACCGAGGTGGTGGTGAGGGTCTGGACACTTGCAGCTGCACACACTGTGTGGCCACGGCTGTGGCTTGTCTGTCCCTGGAACTGGGCATGGAACCACCTGGGCTGAGCATGAGAGAATCACTAAGGAGGGGGAAGACAGCAGGTCACCTGCTTTGAGCAAAGCACCTTTGTCACAGCTATCCAGGGAGAGCCTGCTCCGTCTTCCGCACCTTCCATGTCTCAATAATGAATGTTTTTGTCCCTTGGGATCCATGCAGGGTCTGGAAATGGGTGTGGGAAGGGGGAGGCAAAGCCAAAGGACAGGATTCCTTCCAGAGGTGGGATGTACCTGGCTGAGAGCAGAACTTGCTCTGTGCAAAACTGACTGTGGCAACCTGCGAGGTCCAGAAATTCCCAGTTTTTCTTCCAGCCAGTCTCATGGGATCTGCAGACTCCCAGCAAACAGCCAGCCATGGTGAAGGAAACACTGGTGAGGGAAGGGGTGAGAAACCTTCTGTCCCTGTGCTGACGGTGACTTCACCTCTGCCACACCCCCTGTGGTGTGTCTGACCTGTCACTGCTGCTGCTGCCCCACGTCTCGTGTTCCTGTGTGTGCTGAGGCACCTGGGCCAGGGCCAGGGAGGTGGCCTGGTGGCCATCCCAAGGTGCCACACACATGTCAGGACTCGGGCTTGGGAGAGGGTCCTCAAACCACGGCCGGGCGCCGGGGCCTCACCGAGCGCTGTCCCCCGTGTCAGGGAGGCCAAGGGCCACGTCACAGGATGATGAATCAAAGGCTTTAAACTTAAAAACTACCTAAAAATCCACTTTTTAAGTTACCCAAAGTTAATTATGGTCTAACAGAGCTGTGCCTCTTCCCGACCCGCTCCGGCGCAGCCCCAGCGGGGTCCCCTCCATGGGAGAGCCAGAGTTTGGGATCACACGTAACCCATTAACATTCACAGCTTAAAAAAAACAATAGATTTTTAACTTATATCAGTGTATTTGTTAAAGGACCAGGAAATACCTGGCGAAAGGGGAAGGTGTGTGGTGGGAGCCACTGCTCCTGCCGGGCTCTGGTGCAGCCCCACATCCAGGACGTGGGATCTGAAGGAACTCGGGCTGTTGAGCTTTCTCCTGAGCGTGTGTGGGCTGTGCTTCCACAGGTCTGATGCAGAGATTCAATCATGGAGTTTAACCAAGGATCTGGAGAGTGTCCTACCTTAAAAGTTCACTTATCTCTATTTATTTTACAAAAATAAGATTTAAAAAAAAAATATATAAAAAACCCCACACGATTGTAATGTGAGAGTAAAACAATTACAGACAAATAAATGGTTAATAAAAAATAAATGCAGAAACACTTCCTGGTGTGAGGACCCTTTCCTGGGGCAGGAGGGGGCCCGGGGGCAGCTGTGGCCCAGGAAGGAGCTGACTTGGATTTGGGGTGCTGGGCTCCAGGTGGTTTCCCCATGGAAGAGGCCAGTTACAGGGGGAGGTGTTGGGAGACAGGCCCTTGTCCCAGCCCAGGAGCAGCAGGAACAGGGTGATCCCACTGTGCAGCTCTGCAGAGCCCAAATCCAGCTCTGGAGTGCTGGCTGCAGCCCCGAGAAATGAGCTGGATTGGATACGAGGGAAAATTCCTTCCCTGAAAGCCCTGGCACAGCTGCCCAGGGCAGGGGTGGTGTGACCATTCCTGGAGGGATTTAAGTGCAGTGTGGATGTGGCACTTGGAACATGGGTTAGTGGTGGCCTTGGTGGTGCTGGGGGATGGTTGGACGTGATGGTCTCAGAGGGCTTTTCCAACCTGAACAATTCCATGATTCTATGAAAGAATTCAGTGTTGCCCCTGTAGCCCCTGGCCCCTCCAGCACCCCATTCCCTATCCCTGCTATTCTGTATGTTCCACATCTCCTATAGATGCCCCATCACCTATATTCCCCCATTCCCTATATTCCCATCCCCCATAGTACCCTCATCCCTATACCCCCCATCTCCTATAGCCCCCATTCCCTTTATTTCCATGCCCTATATCATTCATTCCCTATAACCTCATCCCCTACAGCCCCCCCATTCCCCATGCCCCCTTTCCCTATATCCCCATTCCCCCTATCCCCATTCCCCATATCCCATTTCCAGTATACCCGTTCCCTGTATCCCATATCCCATTCCCGGTATCCCCGTTCCCCA